TATGAGTTGATGACTAAGCCCTGTTCAAACGTCGAACTTTACATGCACCGAACGCATTTAAAACAAAAGATAATGAGAAAGCTCACCTCATTTTCTTTTGTCTTTAATGCGTCTGGTGCATTTAAAGTTCGACGTTTGAAACAGGCCTAAACAGTGTCATATATGCGTATGTTTCACTATTTCGTAGTGTTTGGGTTGCGTTAGTATTGTGATTAATAATGTTATGAAGATGCCTCCAACGAATTTTTGCCTATTTAACTGACTTGTGGATAGCAATTAAGGAGGATGAACGTTTCACTCAAAGCAAGTATCTCGGTGTATTAGCTACATGTAGCTATCTTGCGCTCAGATCCATTGCTATTATGATAATATTACGCAGTACAAATTAAATGACTGCTGTAAACTGAGCAACCTAGATACCAGATTTGACTAAGATATTTCAAGATTAATTACATAAATAACGACATTGCATTTTTATATAATTTAGCATATAAAGTATGATCTTGCTTCACCGGAAAATTTCGCTTGGCTCAAAAACAGTCTACTTATCAAAACAACATGCGATATTTTAACGTGAAAACAACGAACACACAAAGCAGAATTCTTCTTCATCATCCGTACATCAGAATATCTTCAAGGATAGCGACATACAAACCGATGGACACTTTTTCAGTGGTTAGCCGCGCACGCGCAGTAGCTACCAGCAAAAATTTGTTTTAAAGACAGCAAATGCCATGGCATTTATAAAGTCAGTGGCAAGAATAACCTATAAACATTAGCGGATCTAGGGACAGTTACAGCGTGCAGCATTTAGCATAATAAATTAAAGCTGCTTAGTTTTAATTTCAAACTACTTTCAGACAAGCACAATCGGTTTTCCATTTCTAAAGAATACACTTTCACCAGTGGACTTATATCTGAGGAGCTTAAATATGTAAATATATTCCTTAATGTGCAGCAGTAATCTATTTTGACTAACTCTAGATCCGCCACTGCCTTACAACTCTTAGGTTATTTTTGGCGAACAATCATGGCAATTGCTATCTTTAAAACAATTTCAAGGCACTCTGCTCAAAAATTGTCGAATCGTTTCTTTCTGCAGAAAGTGCATTTAAATTTGAATTGAATTGAATAGAATGGAATCGAGAATTAAATGAACCTATCTCAAATACTTGAAACTCACAAACATGTGGCAAAAAGTTGAGGTCCCTATTTATAGCCAGAATAATAAGACTTTACAAAGTATTTTTTTGAGGAAAAATTGCGAAACATTCATGAATTTTCAAATAAAGTTATTCTCGTATACAATGCAAACCATACAGTGCAAAGTTGACACGTTTCCGGCAATTGACAGACAGGCAAAAAACAAGAAAAACATTTGGACTTTGATTAATGGATTTAATGAATACAAAAAGTTTTTGGGTGACATGTAAATGTCATAAAACAATAAAAAATTCACAGTGTGGAGAAATTATAAACGCTTGATTAGAACAACCCCGCAGAATCATTTCTACAAGCATAATGCAGTTCTGTTGAGTTTTCTAGAAACACTCTTTAGGTTTGGTGTATTCTTTACTGCACATAAATTGTGCGGCAGAGTCTGCTTTGTCATTACTTGTGATTAGTCGAAAAGAAAACTTCTCATTTGCCAATTGAAACCCCGTGCTCACTGAACTTGTCTTTTAGGACTTATCTTTTATAACGGTATAGACAATATTCCTTGTCTAAACTCCAAATATTTGATAAGTTTGTGATCATTTGCGTAATTTACGAAGCCTCGTCCACTTTTTTGCTAAAAATCGGGCGATATAAAGGTGTTTGAAAACTAATCGTGCATTTATTGCAATTAGTTATCATTTTTAGATGAATGATTTTGTAGTATCATTATTAGATGACAAAATAAACTCTTCCAGTAACATTACAATAAAACTGCTTGTTAAACAAATTTGAAAAAAATTTAATAAACTTACTTAGATGGTAAAATACATTTTCCTGTAGCCACCTGATATGGGGGACAGTCATATGCCAACAGGAACAAAGCATTTCTTGAAGTGCGGTCATTTGACCAAATCAGTGTGTTAAGGCTTTTTAAATTCACGCAAAGTCCGTTAGCGTGCTTTATCGGACCATAGCCTAAGAGAAAGGATGGATTAAATTACATGTAAATTACATGTAAAGTTTAATGAAAATATTGATACCATCTACTTCAGGAGCATTACATGTTATCTTGTAAATGCAATTATAAAATACAAACAAAGTACATTGAAAGGAGTAATTGAAAATCTTGTAGCAGTGAAATAAAAAAAAAAATTAAAACATATTCTAAATTTCCGGATATCTATAAAGCTGTTTACATAATACTGTTTTTATAATATGAGGCAGAAGAAAAACATCTGCAATGTAGCTAAACGACAAACAAAAAGTTCTTGCTAATAGCAGAATAGGTTTTCAATAAGCAAAAGCTTACGACGGTTAAATAATATTTATGACCTTTTCCATTGAAATAACAGGAAGTCTTTACATTCTTGCTAAAGCAACATGTTTTCGGACATTTATCTGGATGTTTCACATTATCTCCACATTCGAATAGTTTTCCTCCATAAACATCACACGATAAACCTGTAAAATAAATAAAATTCCATTCACAACTGCTAACGAATAAATTATATGAATACCCCCAATTAACGTTTTAGTTTTGCTCCTACATAGATTCTTTAATACCCACCATACTCTGTGTTGAACGCCGAACTAAACTTGGCTATTCTTATCGTGTCATTCTATTCAGTAAGTTAGCGACTGTTGCCCACAAATTCGGTCGTAACTCGTAAACAGTTTTGTGTTCACTTGGTGTATAATTAACAGTTTCGATAAAATGCATATTGCAAATGAACTTACATCTGCATGACAAGACCAAACATGGCAGTTGCCTACGCTATTACAATTATTGCATTCGAATTCGGTAAAGCTCTCGATTTAACAACAAATTTCTTTGCGTAATATTGTACAACACACACAGTTCAAAATGTTTAAGTAAAATGTCCACGTATGTGATTAACAAAACACTCCAAAAGGTAAGAAATAAATCAAAGCAATTTGCGACATATCATTGACCAACCTTTAGCCAAATGTAATAAGCCGACCAACAACATAACGTGAGCAAAACCAGAAAAGAAGTACATCATTGTTTCCTTATAAAGTCATTTAACCTCGAGTTGCTGTTCACAATAGGGAAAACAGTGGATACAGTAAATTCTAAACAGCCAAAATAAACCTTGTTTATACTTATTTGTCAATTTATCCAAAAGGCATATATAAGAATGGAGCTGTAAGTGACAAAAAAAATTCTACCCTTTAAAACAACGTGTCATCAACATAAAAGGGAGAGTCAGCTGTCGATTTCCGCTTCGAATGTAACAATATTTTAAGTCCTCAATGGAATAACATTAATAACATTAAAATTTCTCAACTTTTGCGTTGAAGAGCACAAAAATGAAATAGAATTGTCAGTTCTGCGCTTGTTCCTGTTATAAGAAATTGTCTTAAAGTGCTACTGAAGTGAAATTTTGGGTATCGATTTTTTTCTATAATCAAATAGTTCTATCTTTCCTGATCACTTTGGTATAATTTTTATGCATATTGAAGCACGGGATCATCAATAAATTTTTGCTCAAAGTTGGGTTACGCGTGCGAATTTTTACCACTGAAATATTATACGGATGTGACGTAATAAAAAGGACGGAAGTCGAAGTAGGAGCATTCATTTACTAGTATTTTGTTAGATTTTTAACACATATACTCAATAAAATATGAGTTCTTCAAGCAGTGAAAGCGAACGCAGTTCGGATACTGAAAACTCAGATACGGCAAATGAAAATTTACTTTCAAATTCCGGCGATGAGGATACAATTGTGGCTAATTCAGTGGTAAATCCTTACGAAAATGAACCTCTTGCGAACGCAGTCGGAGAGAATTTTGTGTCGGTCGAAGAAGACGCAGATGGCTTAGACCCTCGAACATTGGAAGCGAGGTTCGAAGGAACCTTTCAGTTAGATAAGTGGTAAGTTGATAAATGTTACTAGAACTCTAGAAGAAATTAAACCATGAATTAAACATGTTATTTTGTCCTTATGTCGTGGTGCATAAATATGATAACAAACCACTTTTTTATAGGTGTGCATGTAGCTTGGGTCGTACTCAACTGCTCACAGATGCCATTGAATACCGTTGTTGTCAATAGGTTGGGCCTACTTTACATAAACTGGTATTCGATGTTAGCATTGAAAAAATTAGCTGTGTTACTCTTCACGAAGAGTACACGATTATGACACATGCTACAGTCTTGAAGAATGTTGGAAGAATGTTGGCTCACTTCTAAGAGACCAAGATGGAAGGTCATACAAGCGTATGGCCAAGAATACATGAAAATGAGTTAGTACATTTTTGATTTCTAATTTTGTTTTGTAACGAATGATTAATATCTTGCCATGTATAGAGACTTTTTACCTTTATGTGGTTCATTATTGTGCTGTGATGCTTCACAATTTTGTTGTGTGAAGTCAAAATAATTAATCAAATAAGAACATTTTTTGTAGCATAGTATATTATTTTATAACTAACTTTAAAGTTGGCCTGCTAAGAATATTTGTCAAGTAATTCTTGTGGACAATGACCTTTTGGATATCCTTTCATTGGCTGTCCACAATTTTTGCATAAGCGCATTTTTTTTGGATCTGAAGGACCTGTTGAAGCAGCTTGTTTTTCTTTGTCTAAACCTTTTGCTTGCAGTACATCTTGCTGTTGATCTATAAATAACAATTTAATTTGTTTACTTTTAGAATGCACTGGCCATACCTATTATACATGGTAGCATGAACAACTTACATGTGGGAAACAATGGTGTTGAAGATAGTTGTTTCCTATCCAAATGCCGTTGGATTGCCTCAGTTTTGGAAATTCGATCCGAGAAAGTTTTGTTTAAGGCTTCTAAGACTTTTCCTTATACTTCTTAAATATGTTGTCCATGGATTCCTCACAACTAAGAACCATGACATTTTGATTTCATTAACATAGTCTGGAAAAATGACAAGTGGTTAGATGTGTAAGTCAAGAGTACCAATGCATACATGCTAAACTTACAATATGATGGTGCTGAAGAAACAGTTCTTACTACTTCATCCCCTGATTTAAATTTTGGGTATGTCACAGAATAATATGGTGTTCCATTTTTTGTTTTTTTTGGCTGTCTGTGAAGGTTTTCATTGAAATGAAGTACTGCCAGTACGTGCCTAAACAGAACAAACCATTTATTATGTAATTTTTTTTCTTGACTAGGAACAAGTAAAAAAGGCTTGGCAGATAGAGAACAGTGATTACAAGTTACCTGCAATATGTACCAATCTGCGAAATGCATTGAACATAGCACAGAGTACTGCTGAGGAACGAATTTTGGCCTATGTCTCCTAACAAATTTCGTCCATTTATTCAACCTCTCCTTGTCATTCATGGGGAAACGATGTACTGAGACACCCTCTGTGTGTTGACTGTTTGTACAACTTTTTCCGTTGGGCCAACCAGCAACACAATATTGTCCTCCTCGACGATTTTTTGCAGAATTTTGCCTACTCGCCATATTTTAACTTGCGGTGTATCGTTACGTTTGACTAACTTAATAAAAAATTATTCTCCTTATATTATGTGCGTTGTGATAATATTGCATGGGTTTTAAAACCCCAGACTACGTCAAGGATGCGACACCCATCTGATAAGAATGATAAGTCTAATCCAGAAGTTTATAAAAGTAGTATACATTGGATGATTGGAAATAAGCGCGTTACAGTTAGTTTCTGATAACATTGCGTGTGTGTTAAAACTGCAGACTTCGTGAAGGATGCGGCACCCAGTTTATTGAGAAATATAAGTAAATTCAAGAAGTTTATAAAACTCTAATCGATTGTAAATGTTGCTTACCTATGCGTGTTGCTCATTTGTCACTAAATATACGCAATTTTTGCGAAGAGAAGTTATAAAATATGTAAAATTCCAGGTGGAAATATGCTTGTTCGTATATAATTTTTATATACTAAGAGCTTTAAAATTGAACTTCCGTCCTTTATATGACGTCACGCACTCAAAGTAAAATTCGCATCAAAACAAGCAAATATGCCATGTTTGAACACAAAGTTCGATGCGTTCCCATCGATTAAATTCAGTGGGCGATAGCTCAAAATGATCAGTAAAATACAGAGAAAACGCTTGTATCGAAAAACGAAATATGAAAATTTCACTTCAGTAGCACTTTAAGAGTCGTTTAAGAAGATCGTCTATCGGTGATAATTTGTCACACGCCCGCTTGAAAAGCAGTAAATAAGGTTTTAACAATCATAGTTTTAATTTAATCAACTGTCTCAAAAGACAGTACTGTGCATGGGATATTATCGGGTTTTTTAGCAATATTATGCTGTATAACGACTTCACTGAAAGCAAGAACCTTTCATATATGTAATAATCAAGCTATCTGGGAAAAGCAAATAAAATAATCATGTACACGCGTATGTCGTACACATGGCTGTTCCAATTCTTATGCAATATGCCCTCTGGGCCGTGATAAGAATAAGATGGACATTTCTACTGAGTAAAATTCTTTATTGGTTCCAACGCTTCCTCAATTACTTGAAAGTAGATATGTCAAACAGTCAAAGAACAACTTCTAATCTAGTTATAAAATTTCGTATTAACGTTTCACTAAGAAAAGCTAATTGCACCCAATCACTTCCAAGCCATTTGCTAATTTGTTGTGAACTGAAACATTAATCTGGTGAGATAGTGAGAAATATTATTTCAAACACACATAAGATTGCAGATTACATAGCTAAATAGTTCATCATTTCTTAAATTCAAGTAAAATAATTAACAGATGTAGCTGGATAATTTATTTTAATCAGTTCAAGCTATTCAATATAGATATCTTTTACAAGCTATAAGGAAACATGCATTTACAGAACAAAAATGCTATCTACCACACGATTATACTAAATCCTTTCAGAATTTTATTTTAACTTGCAATGAAAGTGAGATTATAGCTTTTCATTCACAATAACAACGCAGCACGTCAGTGTTTCAGGAGATATACCCGAAGGCCAAAAACCAAAGTGAAAAGGAAACGCAAAAATTTACTGTAGTTACGATGTTATAGCAAATCACATCTCTTGGCCTCAAATATGAGCACTGTTATTAAAAAAAAAACCGAAAAGAGGGATAACCAGTGGATCCGGTGAAAAACCCTCTAACAAAATAAAGATTAATTGAACATTTAGAAATTTCTCAAAATTTCATCTTGTTTTGATAGGTTTTATAATTTTAGCTGTCCTGTTTGCTGTGATCCCGATGATCTACTGTATAGTATACAAAAGAGTAGCCAAGATGGCATGTTTCTATCGTAGTGTTTCGTAGGAAAATAATTTTTACTTGGAAAAAACAAACTGCCTACATGGTTACCCTCTTGATAGATAAATTTTTCGCTTGGAAATAAGAAATGAAACTTTTACAGAAAGACAAAATTTATCTGACTTTGGTATTCATATCAGCAAAAAAGGAAAATGTATAAACAGCCATTGCACACTAAACTTCAAAATTTGCATAAAATTTGCATGCACCTTAACCAACTTGACACATGACGTCCAAGTCAATTTTTGTCAACTAATAAAAAAATTTTTAAAATCTTGCGTAATTTAATAGCTGGCTTTCACTTACGTGGATTTGAAAAGATACTTTAAACATCACGTCAAAGTACCGAAATCGAAGAGTTTTTTTCAATACGCACTCTTTTTCTATCTACATGTTTTTTTGATAGACTGTCAATTGGCTGCACATAATTTGAGTTTCAAATAACTCTCTTTTAATATAAGCGTACCTAGAAAAACTCTATAAAAAACGAACGTAGAAAGATTAGCATAATGAATGAACTAGACCACAGATTAAATACAATTAAAATAAAAGAATAAAGAAATAGTACCTGATTTCTGAAAAGTTGTTGAGGCCAGCCTTACACCGATGACTTCATGTTTTATAGCATGTAGCTATTTTGAGAACGCGAAAGCCAGCTATTTACCTGTACGCGACATGTGACCTCATTTACAGACATTCAAATACATATATTTTATAATTTGAAAAATCCTATAGGTTGCATTAAAATTGAGTTTTTTCAACATCAAAAGATTAATAGACAATACTTTTTCAAAACCTCACTCACGAAAATAACACTCGTAGAAACGACTCAACGTACAAACGTACAAACGTACAAACGACAAACGTATAAAGTCAACGTAAAAACGACAAAACCTACATGAAGTTTTTCTTTTTGCTTCTTTTTTCCTTCTTCGCAGAATATTGTCTTTTTTCATAGGAGCTAATAGGAGTGAATGCTCACACATACTTTAACCGCGATGCAGCGTTCATTTAATATCTTTATATGTATCTTTATATGTATCTTTAGCCACATCCATCTCGAGCCAATAATGCACGGATACCAAAACACCAACTTTTTGCCGAATTCATATTCATCCATAAATTGAAAATCATTAGCTACGAACAAAACAGATAGAGAAATAATAAAATGTAAGAAAAGGTAAAATATGTATGCAACTATCTTGCCAAAGTGCTGATAAAAAAAGATTCAAAAGACATTCTTATGCATTACTTGTTCGTGAAATTTTTTTGCTGACTTTTCCTTTTGTGTGATATGACAAATAAGAACACGAATTAATTTGTTTTTAGAAGAGAATGCTCTGATTTACCAACTTAAAAAAATGTTTGTTCTGGTTAAATTATTCACACGTTATGCCTGTGTAGGTCATTACATGTAAGAAGCTGTACGAAAAATTTATAACGAGATTGAATAGTCGTAAGTTATTGTCAAAGATTAACTAACGTTCTTTGAGCAAACAGCAAGTGATTAACAGTTCAAGATTTATAGATTACAATGTATTTAAATGATAACTTTCAGCAATGAGAAACCAATGGCCATTAATGTGTCGATAAGAGTTTAAGGGATCACTTCAACACCCCAGTTCTTATCACCCATAGAAGGCTATTGTAGAGTCGAACTTCGATAAATGTCTGCTGACCACTTTTATGTGGGTGGGTGCATATAACAATGGGGCCCATCATCATTATATGCACAAACAAGTGAAACAACTGACATCCTCGAAGAATCCAAACTACAGATAAACTATCTACGCCATGAACCACCGTAACACATGAGTGGTAAGAAATTAGTGATTGAAGTGGTGTACAGCACCGGTGGAGATTGAGGGTTTTCATAACTGCATCGGTATGTGAAGTATTCTTGATTTGCAACCAATTTTTTGGGATTTACCAACTGTGAAATTCGTCATCGCTGATCACTGTCCACGATATCCTTGATAAAATATTCTTTTGTATCAGACCTCCAACATGGCTGACAAAAAATTCATCAATAAAACGATGAGTATCGTCAGTAAGATCTCTAAAATAAGAAAATCTAAAAAACCCTGGATGTAAAATAATATTAACTTCGTTTTCTGTAGAACTATCTAACCTTTAACTACTTTGCACTGAATCAAGTGGATATTTTTCACGCAGCAGAAAGTGCAATTTATTTCTTTTGAATATATCTATTCGCCTTGCAGGTGAAACTTTACAATTGACATTCATCAACTAGTTTGATATTTCAGTTGCATTAATCAGTTCTTTTTGAGTAATGTAAGAATAATTTGTAAATGATTAATAGCTCGAATCTATTGTCCATCCATTAAAGACAAAAAGCCTTCACATCACGAGAGTTACAACTCAGTCGGTTGATCTTTCCCATAAATGTCGTTCTTATTCCGTCAAGAAACAGGAAGAATTCACCTTTCTCTTTACATCGATAAAGCAACTAGCTTAATTCTCGACAATACACAAATACGTTATCACACCTTAAATTGACGTCGTTAATCAAAATTTTCACTGTGATTGACGGCTGGGACACATGCGAATAATCTTTTAATGCTTTTAATCAAAAGAAATAATTTTTACTAAATGCCATTGATTTTCCTGTGTTTTGTGAAGGTGTTTGAGCATGACCAGGAACCAAACATCGAATAAGATAAACGTAATTAAGGTCTAGTTAACACGAATAAAATAGGCATGAACGTCAAGACTATTGTTTCCAATGCTCCAGATGTTTACAAAGACAAAGACATTGGCAAGAAAAACGTCATAAATATTCAATAAAGGTGAGCATGACGTAGTAATGCAGAACAATAATGTTCCTAAATAAAACAAAAAAATAATAATTATAACCTAGCATTGGAAATAAATAAAAGCCATTTGCAGACAGTTTCTCATATGACGATAAGAATCATGCAGACATATTAGGCATCTTCAAACCTTTGGCAAAAATGCGTTTCCGCAGAAAGAATTACTGAATTAAGCGAGTTGAGCCTTATTTCTTAATACACTATTTGTATTAAGCTGATTTATCAGATGGTTTGCCTACTTAAAATTCACTGATATGAGCCCTAAACAGGACCCTTAAATACTTACCATCCTGCAATTATAACGCAAAAACACAAATCGTACAAAACATTGCACATTTTAGCCGTCAATATGCTGTTATTTTGTCAAATAAAGTGATATACATACGTTGAAATTCGTATCATTATGGACTATGTTCAAAACACAAAACACTATGGTAATACTGAATATAACAATAAACACCAACCAACCTAATTAACGTTCTAGTTACGCCCGTGGACTTTTCGTTCGAAACTCATGATTGACGACTTATTTTAGATTTTTAAAAAAGTGATAAATGATCTGATTTACAAATATACTCATCTAATAAAATAAGAAAAGATGTATTGTGAGAGCCTGTAATGCAAAAATTTGTTAAAGTTGTTGAAGAAAAATTTTTAAACTTTACCACATTAGGACCTTCTTCTCGTAGCACTTTGACACATCGGAAAATATCAAGTACATGCTCTGTTTGAATATGATCTGATTGAATAGCCAATTTCAAAAAGGTCCCAATCTTATGTGCACCATTTTTAAACTTTACCACATTAGGACCTTCTTCTCGTAGCACTTTGACACATCGGAAAATATCAAGTACATGCTCTGTTTGAATACGATCTGATTGAATAGCCAATTTCAAATAGGTCCCAATCTTAAGTGCACCATTGCAATAAAGTTGTTTAAATGTTTGAACACAAAAAAGAGGAGAAAGAGCTTACCTAAACAAACAGGACATCATTAATAACTGAAACTAGAAGTCATATGTTTTGTTAAGCAGTCAAAAAGCGAAGCTTTTTCAAACTATGTCAAGGGCACAAAATAAGAAGTGCTATTTTCAGAAATCTCTCTTTCAGGGTACCATGTCCTTTTTAATGGGTTTAGATTTTAAAACTTTTCTTTAATTTTTTCATTGGGTCAAAAACAAAGGAGGATTAATAATTATGAAGGCCCAATATTGCATATGTATGTTAAATTATGTTAAATTAAACCATTTCGAAAACAGCTGGAAATCTGGGTACCCGTATTTTCATTAGAACTGTTTTGAAGGTCCCAGCTTGCGTTTCAGAGCTCATAATTATAAAATTTGAAACGTCTGACATGAGAAAAGATAGCAATGCAATTGCAAGTTCTTACTAAATCAATGATGATTTCAACGGAAATCACTCTACGGCAATTCAACAAAATTCAACTCTTGTACGCAACAAAAGTTGTCCATGTTTAAATCATGTTTTATCTAACTCGAGCTGGCTGTTTTCTTTGTAGTTATAGTGTTTTTAATTTGTCTTTGTTTTAAACTACACCATAAAGTCGATATATTTTTACGTGTTTTATTTGCACTCAGACTTTCGAAGCGGTTTATTTAATACGTCATTACGTAAGCCAATTTCTTGTTGCTTTTTCCTTTCATTCCCAGTGATTCGTAACCCGCACTTTCTTTTTTCATTTGCTTTGTATCTAGCTCTTCATAGGTTGCGTCGTGCACGTTTGCATGTAGTGACGTGTAATTATCGTCTTGATTCATTTGTGTTGTATCTAGTTCTTGATAAGTCGTGTCGTCTTCAATTACATTTAATGATTGGTAATAGTCATAACTGCAGATCCTTGTTGACAAATTTAATTCTTTGTAACTTGAACCTTGACTGTTTGCTTCCGTTTCAGACACTGATCGAAGTTGGTTCCTGATTTTCTGATAATATAGAGAATAACGATGCAGTTAAAGACAGCGGAAATGCTTTGCGTGCTTTTCTGGTGCTAAACTTCCAATATCTGATACGGAGTTTGTATTCTGAGTAATTTTTGAGAAAAGCTTCTCTCCAATTTGAAATATCGTCTTTCTTTTACTTTAATATCATTATTCCTTTTTTACTTTTTATCCTAACCTTAATTTAGCGTTGATGGACAAGAGATGGAAGGGAGAGAAGACTTATTGAAGAATTGTTTAGAGAAACTACATGGCACTCCCCGTAATGTCGTGCAGTGCTCATTACGACGCAGTATGCAATAATAATTTTGCTTAAATGACTTAGTCTTGTTTTTGCATCTGAAGTTTATCTTGACAAATACAACTAAGACTTACCATTACCGTGTTTTGAGTTTTGTTAAGAACTTTAGGAATGGGTATTTCGTCCTCTTCGACAATGTTGACGGTTAAATGTTTCTCTTCCTTCGTCCTTTTCTTGTATTTAACAGGCGCCATATGCATACCAAAATCTTTCTTTCGTATTTTTTTGCTATAAACCCCAACTAATTACTTCAGAAAACTTTAGCAAAGAAAAACTGTAATTGATAAAAATATTCCAACACTTTTAAGTCAGTTGTGATCAAGCAAATCTTATCAGGTATAGGTTACGATTAATATATCTTAAAACATGTTCCACAGCTAACTTGAACACAGGTTTTGCAAATTTGCAAAATACTTAAATTAGTGAAATCGTCTTATGAAATTATCTATATTAGTCGAAAAAAAATATTCGGCTTTATGCTGTCGCTGAGCAAAACATTGGGTTGTGTTCACGGCTAAAAACAATTACAAAATACAAACCACAACACAAAGATGACAGCTAGGAAAGTAAAAAGAACTGCACCAACTGCAATACCAGCAATTATACCTAAAAAGAAAAAGTTTATAGCAGTAGGTTGGCTCGCAGATTTTTTCAGTAAGATCTCCTTCAGTAGTCGTTATGTGCTGTAAGTGCTGCTAATAAATGAACTTTTCTCATGAAGTTTAAGTTTCAGTGAAACGAGATTCACTGTTCCTGATAAATTCTAAGAAGTGTTATAAAACGATAAACAGAATTTTTATGTACAGTCAATGTATTGTCTCTATTTATTACGGCGTTTTTCGACATTAATGTCGTTGTTCCCATTTCCCACATTCAAGACCTTTAGCTGGACGAACGATTCTTCAACACTTACATTGGCTAGAATAGCTTAATATGAGCACTTCAAGATTTTAACTAGAAATATGTCGTTGCTCACATTACCTAAATAGAGGCTATCTTTTGTGCTTGATTCACCAGTTTTTTCGGAGGATGTTTTTGGGTCTGCTGCGGTGGATTTCTTGCTGGGTGTGGTTTTGATGTCAGTCTTCAAAGTTTTCTCGCATGGTGTTGTTTTTCTATCTATCTGCGTGGCTTTTTTGCTCGGTGTAGTTTCCCTATATATCTGCTTTGCTTTCTTGGCGGGTGTAGTTTTGTAATCTATCTTGGCAGCTTCTTTGCTGGGTGTAGCTTTGCTAACTATTTGGGTGGCTTTCTTGCTGGGTGTAGTTTTGTTATCAATCTTGGCAGCTTCCTTGCTGGGTGTAGCTTTGCTATCTATTTGGGTGGCGTTCTTGCTGGGTGTAGTTTTGTGGTTTGTCTGCGTGGCTTTTGTGCTAGGTGTAGGTTTGTTGTCTGTTAGCGTGGTCCTCGTACTGGGTGCTATAGATAAGGTATTACGTTTGGATGAAGTGCTTATTTGTGCTACCGGTGTCGTTCTGCTCACTACAAGCAAAAAAAAAGGATGACAATGAGTTAAACAATTTTCATAAAAATATGTTCATTCCAACGTTAAACACAAAAACGAAGATTTCGTTATTTAGGTCAAGTGAATAAAATTTTAAAAGCTAAACGCTTCATTTATATGTCTATGATGTAGCTACTTTTTTGTAAATGAAAGTAATAAATTATAAAATCTGAAAATTATCGAGTAAATTTTGCGGCTAGATTTTTAACTTGTGTAATCCACTCATCAACCACGATCATTAATTCAAGATACAGAAATGTTTTGCAAGCCAATGATTTCCAAAAAAGATGCAAATTCACATATGTGCACTTTGCTTATTGTTCCATCAAAAAATGGAAAATACAACGGGAAAATCTTGATCAGACTCAAAAGTGAGAACTATGGAAATATGATATAGTACTGATTAATAATTTTATACGCATTGCTGTGCTTTTCAACATACATGCAACGCAAATTATATGTTTCGAAAAATAAAGAAAGCTGCATCTGTTTTCTTTTATTAATTACTTTATTAATTATTGTCATTGCCATTGTTCTCCATTGCGGTCATTTTACAAACTTATAAATTCACAGTACGAGAAATTTCAATACCTGATGATGGCGTTTTGCAAGTGTAGTAAACAAGTAGAGATGGTATTTTGCGGCAACTGAATGGTCTGGAAAGGAATCTCTCTTTCTCTATTTTAAAAGAACATTCGCTTCTTCCGTTGCATTGTTTTTGCACAGAACTGAGCGCTGTTGATGATAAACATTCTTTTTCGACTGAAGATATCTTATATGGTTTTCTATTTCGGCCATTTTTTTTCATCAAAACACCAAATTCAGCTGATCGTACATCAATGACCCAGGTAGAACATGATTCATCACATTGAATGGTCATATTTTCCCTGTACTTAAACTTTCTTTCGTAAACTAAAACATGAAGAAAAATATGGAGATCGTTTTCTGAACATAAACAGAAATTTGATGTATCTTTTCTAACTTTTTTCTTTTAGTTGAATAAGTATTCAACTCAAGTACCGTTAAAGAATTTAGTCTTGTACTACCGTTATATTTTTGTAGAGAAGTCAAAGTTAATATAAAGGTAGTATTTGTACCGTCACATTTTTGTATTGAAGAAGTACCGCAACGATGTCGTACTGAAGAAATCAGACTTAAGATTTTTTATAGAATGAGATTCAATCTTGATTATTATTGTGGGATTAGTTCTTAAGAGTCATCAAAACACAACGCTATTTGTTAACATTGTAATGCGATGACTCACATTTTTAATGTAATTAACTTACCATAGTTAAATTTTCAAGAATTATTCACTTTGCAACCTTTCTCTGTAATGTAGACATATTTATTTTTTTGATGCTGCCATTCAATATTGGGTGCAAATAAATCACCAATACAAAATTTCTTTGGCTCATCTACATCATAGACACGTAAATTTCCATTCTTTGTTGGTCTGTATCTTCCTCGTGCACCACTGCAATATGGTTTATTTTTTACATAAAGTCTTTTGAAAATTTTGCCATCATCTAATCTATAACAAAAAAAGTCGGTTTACATTAGCAACGTTAGCTACATTAGTATTGCAGCATATATGATTTTATCGGTTTGAGTTATAATATAATTATATAACTACTTGTCTCTGAAAATTTCTTCTAAATAATAACTTGGAGGAGCTAAACTTTTTTAACGATGTGGAAAATAAGTTAAAAACTGTGAGTAAGTACCTTTCTTTGTGATGTATTGTTAAATCAGGGCAATTTTCATTTTCAAAAATTCAGAATTGATATTGTCGATTAGTATTTTAAACATTTAGCAACAACGCAAAATTTGTTATGATGTTTTTACAATAAATGATAGACATAATCTTGAAATAAAAATATTCTAAATATGTTCTAGGATACAAAACTTTCAAAAACTCAATAAAAGCAAAAAAATTGCTTCATGCTATACTTTAACATTACTTTGTTAGGCCAAGACATCTGGGGCCATTTAAACGAGCACTGATGATTAGCGTAGTCTTTAAAATATTTTTTCTTCACGAAAATGAAAGTTCATTATCTTTGAAATACTGGTTTGTTCTGTTGATTTCTCAGCTCAGTTAAAATGCTTGAACTTTTTCATATAAGATATTCTTAAAATCGATATAACAAAAAATGCTATAATTAAGTGAACAGTTGTGCAGGGGTTGGGCAATATGGCCATGCACGATTTCACTTCATAATATATACGTCTCTCTAGTATTCAACGGCCTATTGTATGAAAGGCGTTTAACTCACTAACCACTGTTTGAATAGCTATCCACAGTATAAACTTCGAACTCTTAAAAAATAACGTTTTGCGAAGCCCTTTTAATTTCATCCGGCAGCTAAATTTTGCCTAAACACTGTAAAAATTTTAACGTACCAATGACACTGTTAAAGTAACTAAACGGCTGACAAATAGTAGTTGCTTTGTAGTTTTTTGAAAAATATGGCTTCAATATTACCAGGCGTTCATTTCTATGCTTGTTCTAGGCATGGTATGTAGGTTTGGATCTTGGTTTACAAATATGGGTTACTTTCTGTTTTAGGTGAAAGCCTAAATGAATGACATTTTTTGTGCACATATGATTTTATTCGGAAATGGTTTTTCGTGCCCCCCCTTGGTTTAAGTAAAATTGCTTTATATACTGAAAAAAAATAAAGAAAAGGAAGATTATCCTCAAGGGGCGTCCTGGAACGTCAAGTTACAAACAAATGCAGCATTCAAGGAGCCCGATTGCAGGATTAAAACCAAAACAAACTCAACATAAATGGCATACAACTCTTGTACTAAAGTTGCTTTAAAAACCGTTGTGTACTTCATGATTGTTTATCTTCATGGTTTTTGGTATGGTGTAAGGAGCACTGTAAGGCCAGGGGCGACACAATAAGTTCACGTAAATATATTAATGAGCATAAAGTCATAGCGATATATAAATCAAAAACATTCATTGCATTTTGAAAGTTATATTTGTCTTTGTTAGATGATAAAAATAAAACGTACTCAGCAACATTATAAAATTTTTTATAGGAAAAAACAAAAAAAGATTTGAAGAACTTTACTGTGAGGATAGAAAACATTTTCCTGTAGCCACGTGATACGGAGGATAATCGTATGACACAAGGAAGAAAGCATTCCTTGAAGTGCAGTTACGTGACCAAATGAGATTATAATCCCCTTCTACATTAATGTAAAGTCCGTTATCGTGCTGTATGGGGCCGTAATCTAAAAAGTTAATTTCTAATATCAGTTTATCAACCACTTCTAAGTTTACTGTTTTTATTGAAAAATTGGTGCACTTTACTTTAGAAATATGATATCTTATCTTTTTTATTGCAATTGCAAAATGCAAACATAAGTAAATTAAAGGTAGCTTAAACTTCCTGAATATGAAAAAATCCTAAACGTTAACACGTTCTATTTTTTCCACTAAAAATTCATACAGCCAGTTTTACAAAAGAATAATTTTTCATTGCGAGACAGAAGAAAAACATTCAGCACTGCATGTGAAAAAGAAAGCAAAAACGCTTTTTTCAATAAGCACATTTCTACTACTAAGAAATTTGGACCTTTTTCATTAAAATAGCATGGAGGATTTACAGTTTCGTTAAAGCAACATGTGTTTGGACATGTATATTGCACTTTTACATTAGTTCCACATTCCAACAGTTTTCCATGAGAGACGTCACATGATAAAGCTATAAAAAATAATAACAATTTCAACCTTAAAAGATCATTTTATCACAATGCTTCAGTATTTAATTTTTTGGAACTTTAAAAGCGCAGTTCTTGCTGTTGTGCAACGTTTATTATGCAAAACAAGGCCGATTGTTTTTTTTAGTTTCTTTTTTTAAAGTTTAACTAACGCCTGTTTTCTAAAAGCTAGTTCACGCTCACAACCACTGAGTACAGTTTCAAGTCACCCACACATATTGAAAAAGGGTATTTTTACACCACTGATTGTTTGAAATATTTTAATTTTAGAAAATAGAGTGCCATTTTTGTACAAAATTCAACGAGGGAAAGTTTGCATGAGCTTTTATAACTGAAGAGTAAACGTGTTACTTCTATTGAACAAAAGTTTTGCCGACTCAAATTCATCTACTTCAAAGACAAAAATTACTATTAACTAAAAAGAACGTTAGCCGTTTTCTTTTTTCCTTGCTTTTTTTGTTCTAAAATTTATACGAAAAAAACAATTGTCCAACATGAATTTCTTATCATATCCATTGAGTAACGAACAATAAGACAGTGCCAAGTCTTATTGAGAGTTTAAGATCGTGCCGAATTTCGATATGCTACAACAAATTTATGGTTCCTCATTACATTTTGAATAATCCACACGTTGCCTCATGCTTTGCTCATCAAGGAGAGTTTTGCTGGAAAAGAGTGAAAGAGAATTTTGCCCAAAGAGTCATTGTAAATTACTGGGCATACGTGCTAGGAGCGTAAAAAATACAACGTGTATATTGGCCTTGTTTTAATTAGCATAAACTCATCGCTAGCACAATATCCTTCGTTGTAAAATTGACTAGCTCTGTCACTTTTTATATTTAAACGAATACAACACATATATATTAAATCGTCCTTTTGCCATGTTTATGTTCTGACCTATAATGAAAGTCATTATGAACAGAAGAGTTAAAAACCATAAAATGGCTCAACAGCTAATCAAGTGTTTTGTTTTTATGTAAAATATATATGCAACTATCTTGGCGAAGGGATGATAAAAGGTTGGTCTAGAAAATTTACATACTTTGACAAAATTTTATTGCGAAAATCTGTACAACAGACAGACATTCTTTTCATAAAAAATTGTCCACGTATGCCCGTAAACAACAAAATAATTTGAAAAATTCACAAATTAAATAAATATAAATCGAAACAATAACTAACATAAGATTGACCAACCTGTAGCCAACTGTAATAAACGGATAATGACCAAGCTATGAGCAAATATACAAATAAAGTGCATCATTTCATTCTCTTAATTCCTTTGTTTTAAAATTCTATAATCACGTTAAGGTGAAGACACTCGATACAGCACACACTCGTTACATTTGTGTGTCCATGTCTCCCACATACAAATATAAGAATGAGCCCATAAGGGATGGGGAAAAGGTGATCACGCATTATTAACATAAAAGGGAGCGTCAGTTTTCGACTTCCGTATTAATGTTATAATCTTCAAACACAAGCAACTTTCATTTATATTATCCAATTTAAACTCATCGCACTTTTAATTTGAAAATGAATAATAAACATTTAATAACACCTTTATCGGAAAGAAAGTGATAATAGTATAATTTCTCAAATCTGCTCTTGTTTCCGTGGTAAAAAATTGGCTCTAGAGCCTGTTTTTCAAAAAAGCGTAAACAGTCGCACTGAGAAGCAGCGAATAGTTTAAGCAGCGAATAGTTTGAGTTCTCTCGCAAAGGTCTCTTCTGTTTTTTAAGCCGGTGTAAACACAGAAAAAATCTTTTGTTTCTTAAATGTTTAACAGTATGGAGCAGAAATTGCAAAATAGGTCGTTTGCATCATACGTCATGCAAAGCTTCTGTGTGGCTGATTAAATACAAAAGAATGTTCATCAATGGTGTTGTGGGCAACAATAGCCATTGTGGGCGAGCCACATTGTTTTGATAATTCGGCGGAGGCTGGTTAAAACCGACGAAATCAGTAGTGATTCAATTTTAACGTAACATTGTTGTTCAACACAAAGACTGCACTAAAAATGCCGATGTTTTATTTAGATCTAAAAGCCGAGAAATTGCAAATACAAAGATGCTATAAGATGCGTTTGGCTTCCTCGTATTAAAAGAAAATGATGTGGGAGTATAAGATAGTGCCAAATATGGGAGTATAAGACAGTGCCAAATATGGGAGTATAAGACAGTGCCAAATATGGGAGTATAAGACAGTGCCAAATATGGGAGTATAAGACAGTGCCAAATATGGGAGTATAAGACAGTGCCAAATATGAGAGTTTAAGATCGTGCCGAATTTCGATATGCTACAACAAATTTATGGTTCCTCATTACATTTTGAATAATCCACAAGATGCCTCATGCTTTGCTCATCAAGGAGAGTTTTGCTAGAAAAGAGTGAAAGAGAATTTTGCCCAAAGAGTCATTGTAAATTACTGGGCATACGTGCTAGGAGCGTAAAAAATACAACGTGTATATTGGCCTTGTTTTAATTAGCATAAACTCATCGCTAGCACAATATCCTTCGTTGTAAAATTGACTAGCTATTTCACTTTTTATATTTAAACGAATACAACGCATATATATTAAACCGTCCTTTTGCCATGTATATGTTCTGACCTATAATGAAAGTCATTATGAACAGAAGAGATAAAAACCATAAAATGGCTCAACAGCTAATCAAGCGTTTTGTTTTTAGGTAAAATATATATGCAACTATCTTGGCAAAAGGATGATAAAAGGTTGGTTTAAAACATTGGCATGCATAATTTGTTCATTAATTTTTTAGTTTGCCTGTTATTGGAGACATGATTTTTGATGTGTATGAACATGTAAGAAATGTTTATTCTGGTTAAAATTTTCACACGATTTGAATGTGTGTCATTTTTTTCGTCAGATGTAAAAACTTTTACAAAAAATTTATAAGTGAATAAAATTTGTAACTTATTGTCAAAAATTAACGTTTTTTTAGCTAAAAGTGATCAATAGTTCAAAATTAATATTTTACACAATGTACTCACTCGATAACTTTCGGCAATAAGAAACCAATGGCCATTACTTTGTTGATAGGAAACTAAGGGATCGCTTCAACACTACTAAATCATCATTAAAAAAAATGCCTAGTGCAGAGTCAATCTTCTAAAAAAGTTTACTGACAACTTAAAGTGGACGCATAAACAATGGGCCATCATCATTATATGCAGAGACAACGAACATTCAAAGAGAATCTAAATTACAGATGAACATTCTTGGCCATAAATCACCATGAAACATGAGTGAGAGACGGGTGAGAGTGATTGATTTACTTGGCATCCAATGATTTGGGATTCACCAAATATAAAGTTCGTCCTCGCTGATCAATGTCTATGATATCCTTGATAAAATATTCTTTTGTATCAAACCTCCGACATGACGGACGTAAAAGTCATCAACAAAACACTAAGATACATGTCAATAAAATGATAAACTCTGCAAGTAAAACGATATTAAGTTCGTCCTAGTTCCTAATTCTTAATTACCTGTACACATCGCTTGAGATTTAAGGGGACAGTAAGGTTGTTGTCTAGAGATTGAAATATAATTTCTATACCATTGTGTAACCTACTGGATGAGCGTTTACCAACTATTCACAGGATCAAGAAGAATTTTGTACGGAGCAGAAAGTGCAAATGATTTTTTTTGAACACATTTATTCTCCTTGCAGGTGAATAAATGACATAACTAGAATTTGTAAAAGCTTAATGGCTCGACTCCATTATATATGCATAATACAAAGTAAAATCCTTAAATTTATACGATGATTACAGCTTGGCCAGTTGATTTTTCCTATACATTTCATTTTTACTTTGCCAGGAAAGAAGCAGTATCTATCCTAATCTGTTGAAGCGACCAGTTTCGTCGTTACAGTATAGTGAATATACAGTAGGTCCATTTCGTGTGCATATTAATTAGATTACTGACTGCCGTTAGGCATTTCATTTCATCACTAAATCTTATTGCTCAAAAAAGCAATTGACTGGCTGCCACTATTGTAAACACATGCGTAATAAGATATGCGTGACAGGAAAAATTTCAATAATAAAGTGGCTCTACTGTATATTCACTAAACTGCGTCTTCATGAGAATACAAATCTAAAACGTCATCACACCTTACATTGACGTCACGATCAAAATTTTCATTGTGATTTGCTCTTGAGACACATGCTAGTTATAAAAAAAGATTATAATTAATCCTTTTAAACAAAAGAAATAATATTTATTTTTGTATAGATCATGACGAGGGACCGAAGACCAAATAACATAAACATGACGATTAATGAATATACATCGAAATCGAAACGATTTTCATTCAAAACATTTAAAATATCAAATTTTCACTCACCATTCAAGAACTTTTTTATGTATTCAAATAACGTTATCGTACTTATATTGATTAAATTCTTAGTATTAAAATAAGTTTATAAATTGCCTTGTCCTGGCAATACAATATAACCATTATCATTTTAAGTCGACAAAATAAAGATATTATGCTCTATTGCACTAGATATCTCCAATGGCAAAATAATGTAAAAGTCCTGCCACTAAAAGTTTCAACAAATTACCTATGTTTTACGAACTATTTATTTCCAATTACATAAATCCCAGCAAACAAGAGTATGCTGTGTAATTTTGGAAAGTGCTCATGCATACATTACGTTTAGTTAAGATAAATGACTATTGCTATGTAATTAAATTTACCGTATCATATAATAATAAATCAAACATTACTCCTTTTGTACTTTGGGAATGTTGTCATACGTCATAAGCGATTCAATAAAGGTGAGCATAACGTAGTAACAGAAACGATAATGTTCCTAGAAGCATAAAAACATCATGAACATAAACTAGCAATGGCAATAAATAAAAGCCATTTGCAGACATTTTCTTATATCACGAAAGGAATCAGGTAGGTACATTTGCATGGGTTCTTTAAATTCAAAAAGAAATACTTAAATAAACAAGTTCAGGTTTTGTTTTCAAATGCACTGCTTCTGCGAGAAGCTGATTACCTAGATGGTTTATCTAATTGAAATTTCCCTGATACGAGCCGTGACAATTGATCTGAAAAATTAATACCTGGATAAAGCTTCTACGTACGAAACCATTATGAAAATTGAAACCAATTTTGATTTTGCACACCCGATTCTTGGGACCACTCAATTACAATATGGTGTAGAGTTAGCTGAGCGATTGCGGTATTCTAGTTTTAAAATTTAATTTGCGCTATTTTGGACAAGGGATACACACAATTTTAAAAAGTAGAATACCGTAACTCTACAGCATATTGTGATTGAGTGGTCCCAAGAATTGGGTGTGCAAAATCAAAATTGGCTTCAATTTTCATAATGGATTCATACGTAGAAGTTCTATCCAGGCACTAATTTCTCAGATCAATGTTCATAACTAGAACCCCCAGCATTATATCTAGCCCCCAGACCACATCACAATCCTAGCACAAAAACACAAGCCGTACAAAAGTGTGCAAATTTTAGCTATCTATCTATTTTATACAATATTGCTGATTTGTCAAATAAAGTGTTATACCTACGTCAAGATTTGTATGAATTACTGTGTGTTATGTTCAGAGACCCAACTATAAAACATTTATTTTGGGCAGGCTTATATTATTTTATTCAGTTGTGCAAATTGATTTCTTTTGAACGCATAGTCACTTTAAAAATAAATCAATTAGGCACAACTGAACATACGTACGAATATAAAACAACCACCATAATGAACGTTCTAGTTACGCCGTGGGTATTTTACAAAGAACTCACGAATAACGACTTATTCAATTTTATTTCTGGATTAGTAGTTGGAAATGCTGAAATGCAAATGTTTTAAAGTTTTTTGAAAAAAAATTTTTAAACTTTACCACATCAGGAACGAACTGTGGGCGTTCTTCTCGTAGCACTTTGATGCATCGGAAGATATCGAGTACATGCTCTGTTCGAATACGATCTCTTTGGATGGCCAATGTCAGATAAGTCCCTGTCTTATGTGCTCCATTGCTAAAAAATGATGCTTAAGTGTTTAAAAACAAAGAAAGAGGAGAAATAGCTTACCAAAATAACAAACAGGATACTATTCATAATCAAAGTCAGAAGTGATATGTTTTGCAAAGCAATAACAAAACAAAATTTTGTCAAACTATGGCAAAAGCATAAAATGAAAGAAATTACTGCTCTTCAACAATTAAGTGCTACCTTCTGAAAATGTCTCTTTTAGTAATCCATGTTCTTTTTTAGGCATTAAAATTTTTCCCTAAACTTTTCACTGAATTTTTTTTTATTGAAAATGTAGACAAAAAGATAAAATTTTCAGTCAAAGGTGGAGGAAGATTGATAGTTGAGAGGGCCCATGTTTATACATCCATGTTCTATTTTATTAATTTCTATTGAAATCTATTGTCAAAATGGACATAATAATTAAAATTTAGGAATATCCCTCCCCCAATCATCAATCTTCCACTGCCATTTTGGGTAAGTATAAAACTTGTCATATGGAGGTATAAGGTTCTGACGGACCGTTATGCTAATATCTATTTGTTTGCATAGTAACGCCTTATAGGGTTTATTTTTGTTTCGAACTTTTTTAGATTTCTTTTTAATTCTTAACAATTTGATTTTTAATAAATTTTTAAAACCGTTCATTTCACACTTTAAAGAATATATTACAGAAAATTTGGATGGTTAACGGTGGTATAAATAAACAATGTCTAAAACTATTTTCAAGTTAAGTACGCAGCTAATGGCACAAACTAGGGTTTTTGGGTGAGAAAAATATTCTTTTTTAAGGTTGGAAAGATTTGGAACTAACCTACAATGAACGATAATTACTCCGTTAGGTGCACGCTGTTGTGCTTCTTCAACAGTGTTCAGAAGATCAATGACGTCATTGTAACTTTTGGGAAACTCGTGTTCTGACCACTTTGTAAACTGCACGTGTCTGACAACGTGTTCAACAACTGCTTTCTCCTGAAATGTTGTTAAAAATGTACTTTCACTTTTTTAGAACAAATGATAAGAAGAAAGGAAACTGGTCAGCGTTGAAATCGTGCTTTGGTAAACGTTGGAGCCATTGAATTAACCCAACAAATTGGACAACAGACAACATAGTTGCTCTTAATATACGTCAGACTTAAAGAAAACTGCACAGAAATCTCAGAACAAAAGTCCTTTGCTCGAAATATGTCTTATATTATGTCTCGAAATATGTCTTATATTGCAGAATATTGAAACATTAAATATGACTAAATTCTATAGTTATGAATATACTCGATCGATAAAAGCACTGATGAAACATTGATCCTATGTAATGGCAAATTTCCATCAATAAACATATATACAATGAGGCCATCGTTCATCATTTCACAAATGACATAACATTGATGAATAAAGTAAAATGTCAACAGTTTCCTGCCTTATAACTCACTGTGGTTTTGCTGCGGATGATAAGTTTGCGCAAAACGATGGGTACATGACTCTCGAATGACACCAATTCTACAAACAAATCACCATACTGTTGTTCGTTGTTAAGTTCTTTTGGCCAATACTGTGGATAACTTTCCCAACACTACGTATACCAGAAACTGACTTAATACAAATTACTCTACCTGTCAGCCATGAAAATCAAAATCGGCTGACTGACGATATAGCAGCAAATCAAGAATTTCAATGAAAAGTCGTCGCTAAGTAGCTACGCATGCATTATTGAAACAAACACAGAGATTAAAAGCACGTACTTCGTTAATGGTATTTAGCATTACTATGACAACCGTTTTGTTTTCAAATGCCATCTTCCAAAAGTCGTTGATGGTGTGAGCAAGGGGTGTCTGCGTGGCAATATAGGCCTTGGCTTTACTGTAGCCCTAGAATAAATGATTAATTTAATATAAATGCAAAATAAAGAACTAGCTGTTCACGGTTGAGGCGGCATACGTGCACGTATGTGGCATTGATGTAACATTCTTCTCCTGCTTTTCTTCCAGGAAGGTACACACGGAAATTTTCCGCTGAAAAAAAGAGAAATAGTGTCGATCAAACAAAATGATAAGCTGCCTACTTAACATAAAGTGTATGAAACTTGTATGAATGAAAAAAACTATTAGAGTAAAACAAGTACACAAGTTTCAACACCAAATTTCTCCTTATAAAGATAATAGATTAGAGCTTAAATAGAACAAACGTAAGATTTTTCCTATTAAAGATATTGGACTGGAAGATAGCAAGGGCTCAAGTCTCAACTTCAGATTCTCTAACTGATGGCATAAGACTTGGGTATATTAGGACTGCAGACATCACATAAAATTTTACTTGTAGATAAAAGCATATGATTCAAACTTTGCGTATATATAGTGACGGAATTCATCCAACATTACTTAATATGAAACACAAAGAAAGAGATTCAAATTATTCGTGCATGGAACATATGGTGGAAATTCTAAAATATGCTTGCAAGTTAAACAAAAGTTTTAAGCCAGTTTCTCTCGAGTTGCAATTTCATTATCTCTCCAACAAGCAAACTGAGCTATAAACTTTACGTTAAACAGCTTGATCGATCTACCAGTGAATTTCAAAAGATCATTATAAACAGGAACTCATTTAAGAACTATTATAGTGTGATAATACCTGGACAAATGTTAATGTCGCGGTTCTTGGATAGATTCTCGGGAAGTTGAGATGTCGTACATTCTTCAGCGGTGAATGAAGGACAAACCGAGCAAAGTGTCTAAATTATACGTCACAAATAAAAGCAGTCTGTTGCATGATGACTATGAAGACAAAACAATGACTAAAGGTAAAGTACATTGAACTCAATTTCAAATCCATTCAAAGATTTGTTCAGCTCCTTTTGCTCAAGTCTTTCGATCTCTGTACGCAAATCTTGTGCTGCAACTTCTGTGACGCCACATAGAAAGATCTCGAGGACAGCTTCATGTAAGAAGGTGTATTGTTGCTGAAAAAGATTTGTACAACATTTTAGTATCTGCAACAAAAAATTCTAGCCATTGTTGAAAAGGATAAAAGTTTTTAAGGAAAGCTGCAACATTATACATGAAAAGTGATTTGATATAGTGAATATAAATACTAAATTATAGTGAATAAAATTCAAAATAAAAGGAGTGACCACCAACTTAATACAAATATTGATTAATTGCATGAAAATGCACTCGATAAATAACAAAGTCCACTGTCAAGTGTTTTCAGTTAAAACAAGGAGATGCTAATAATTGCCACATTGTAAAGTCTGCATTTTGGAGTTTTATTTAGAATGCTCACATATGGTAATACATGTCACTCTAAATCACCAATGTGCAATTTATACAAATACAGACTAAAGTCTTAAATTATCATCTAAAGTGTTTATTCATGGTTATTATTTGTAGTTATTTTTTTATTTATACATGGTAAGTGAATTTTTGTAAATACCAAAGTATGAACCATATTGCTTCGTTGATTTCTCAATTTTTTAACGGTCTCTTTAATATCCACTGTTTGCTTATTTAAATCGTTGACATGACGTAGACACATATCTAGCGCAATAAACGTCCCAGTTCTTCCAACACCAGCACTTAAATAAAAAATATTCCTTCTCTGCTCTATTGCTTCTAAGTAAATACTAAAGTTCTTAAAAATGGAGAACGCTCTAAATGATGAAAATAGGCTGAGACAAAATGTTATAACAAAAGCAGAGCAAACTTTGAATGTATATAGCTTCTTCTTATGCTTATGTTGTCTTTATATATTAGTATTTTTGATGATATAATCACAATTGCAAGAAAGTTGGGTGTTTGCTACTGTGAAATGAATAGCACCTTTGCTGCACAAATTTACAAAAATATCCCCTTCTTGACAGGTTTTCTGTTGAGATGCTTATCGGACGTATGAGCCAAGTATACATCGCATCTATGTCTTACTTGTATGTTTTACGTGATAAGGTACCATTATAGCTGACATTAAAAATCCTTTTATCTTATTGAAATTACACTTATTTGCTAAGTTTTATAAAGGAATATGACATTGGGAAATTGGGTTTAGTAGTTGACAAAAAATTACTAATTTGTCTGTCTTTGAGGGCTAAGTTTATTACCTGCAATGTACTACGATTGGCCTTGAATCAGTGCAATGCATCACTCGGAAGCGTTGTCGGAAAACTAAAAGCTTCGTGGGATATCTAGGTGCATCATTGTCTGGCCAAGATAGGAAATGAAACTGGGTGACCTTTTTCCCTTCTCCATCCTAGAAATATACAAGTATAGGGATAAAGACCAATGATCAAGAAAGTTACTGGCTGCAACACTCTTTGTATATTCTTCTACGATAAAATATGAAAATATCAAATAGGAAATATGTGACTCTACTTGATAATGACCCTACACATTTTTTGTCATTTGTTTTCGCTTTTGCTTAATATATTTGCCTCCTTCTTGCTGTTATTAACTATATTTATAGCTGTCTTTGGCAATAGCCAAGGAGCACGATTCAATTTCAAGACTAAGAAGTGTTCATGCATAAATGTTTGGAAGAAAGATTTACGTCACCTTTTCCATATGCAAATATCGTATGACATAGTCGGCAAACATTTCAGTCTTGCTAGTTTTTACAACGATTTCGCCAAAGGTAATCTCGTCATCTGACCAGTATTTAAGACATTTTACCTGTGATCGAAAAATACCATTATGAGTTTCTTAAGAGCCTTAGCAATATAGCAAAACAATGTTTCTCCCTTTTTTTGAATATTTGGCTGCTTTTACTGTCTTAAGAACTAGACAGTAAAACTTTGTGGCAACAGTTGTTAATGATGTTATTTTTGTGCCAAAAGGGATCTTACGGTGACTCTACGAATTTACGTTTGATTTGAAGGGTACTTGCCTTTCCCATTTCTACCATTTTAGTCAAACATATGATTGACGTGCAATCTTGTTCCCATATCATTCTCCAAAAGTCATTCACAGTCTCAGAGGTAGGACCTATAGTAATCAAAAGAGTATAAGAAAATACAAAAAATGGACAAAATGGGGTGCATGACGCTCTTGGGTATGACCTCATAACAATTTTCAAAATGATGGCAAAATGTACCTTGTGCAGCTATGTATATTTCTGATTGAATTCCCTATAGAAAAAGCTTTCATGAATGGGCTTTCTGTAAGGTTTATTATAAATGCGCATTAATCATCATTAAGAATATTTTAAATTTTACTTCGAAAATCTACACATTACCAAATACATATGCATGTAAAATAATAATGTCAAAGGACTAAGTTTACAATTGATTGGGCGCAATAACACGATTAAACTACATTTTAACGAAACCCATACTTATGAATGTTTATGCAGTGCGGATTGTGTGCGCATTCTGTCAAGTATGCGTGAAACCCATACTTCACAGACACATGGGATTTGCTCTTTTTCACTTCTTCAATTGATACTTACTAGATGAAGCAAATTTTGATAGTACTCAAAATGAAAATATGAAAAACAGATTTACAATGTAATAAACAAGCAGTAACACGTGGCATTATGGGATTGAAAGTTGGTAAAACAGACATAAATCTTTGCAAAATTATTGTGAAGTCTTGTGTTAGCAGCCTGATAAAAATCATATGCATCATATATAAATTGCAAGTGTTGTTGCAGTATACTCAACCCTAAAGCTTTTTGCTCTCTTTAAAAGTCATTGAGGGAAGTAAACGAGTACCTGAATGTAGTTTGCATTGATATAACTATCTGCTCCAGATAAAACAACCCGCGAATGATCATCTGCAAAGATAAATTATTGTTTAAAATTTAAATTTTAAGTTTTTTGAACAATAAATTTAGACATAAAATGCAAAGCAGTGTGAAAAATATGTACTTAAATACTTTGCATACAAATGCTGCAATTATAAAAGGAAAGAGTTGAAAAATCATAACATAATACTTACAAGCAATATTATTTTTGTATTTATTCTTTTTTGCATTCTTGGCACTTTTACCGACATCCCAAGGGTGTATTTGACCAGTCGGCAGTTCCTTCAAAACAGACAAGCAAAGCTGAGACTAGCCACTTGTAGGAAAAGTCGACAATATACAAAACATACACGATCATTGTTTTTCACTTATAACGATGATCACAGATATGAATGATAGATACCTTAAAATCTTTTTCGAAACCAAAACTCTCATTCTTTTTCATCTCTTCAACATACATCAAGAATCTTGTTATCTTCACTCCTGTATGTTTGTCTACAGAACTGTAGACTGGAACGAAGAAAAACATATCGAAATGCATCATCTAATATATAATCTATATGCATTTCAACTTAATACAATTATTACCTATAGATTATAGTGTAAAGACCAGTAGTTTTATAGTGAATATAGCTTTAAAAAAACTTTGTGCACTCAAGCGTATGATTTTTCAGTACAGTTTCTATTAATAAATAAAGACTACTACTACTACTATGATGACTTGTGTGAAACACAACTCCATGATTATTCAAGTTCATACTTTCTGGTTTAGTTTCGTACAGATCTTCCAATGCATGCTGTCGTGTTTTTTCAGGTTTGGTGTAAAAGTCTTCGAATGGCGTCTAAAATAATAGCATCAGCAATATTGGCAAAAATGGATAGTAGCTAATGGCGCTAATGGCACAGCAAAGACGGATTTTGATTAGAAAAATTGAGTTTACAATGACAGCATGGATTTTGCTGATGGTGGTCACATCGACAAAAATAGTTAATAAAGGAAAAAAAATTACGTGTTGGTGATGAACACAAAGATTTTAATTTGATTAGAAAAGAAAAGTGATAAGTAGATATAGAGCAATGATGTTTATAATTGACTGTGTAAATCAATTTATAACACTACAGAAGTTAAAAATAATTTATGGTGACAGCAGAGTGAAATGGAGATGATCATAGAAAAGTATTAAAGGAGCATTATTTGTTTTTATGAACAAAAAATATATTTAAGATCGCAACATTTAGAAAGAAAAAGGATGACGTTTGATTATGATAGTATTTCTCCTATTTTGCGATTAAAATTTTTAAGCTGTTATTTTAAACCGCTAAATTCATTTCATTAAAAAAATTTACGAAATATTTTTTTAAAGGAAATGCTCTCTCACAAAATTGTTTCAAAGATAAATTTTACCTCAATCTTCTTTTCATCAACCTTGTCTGGTACTGCGTACAAATCGTTTATTGTTACCTAAAAACAAATATTTAAGAGAAGAAACAAGGTATTTTATTGTGTTGAGATGATATGTGCTACTACAATCAGATTTCTCCACTTCTTATAGGCACATCAAACGTTTTAATAATCGTCATTTTCTTCGAAAGTCTTTTCCACATTAAGTAATTACGGTGTAATTACATTGAGTAATTATCCAAAGATGCAAGAGCAGGATTTAAGGTATAAAGAAAAAAGTTTGAATTTGATGGTATTTTAAACAGTTCTGAGCAATCTTAAAACATTTATGCATAACCGACACGGGAAGTCTTAATTTAAACAAATTTTATATTGTTACAAGTTTTTTCAAAATCAATTATTATTTTTCCCAGTTTAGAGAAATAGTAAAGCTGTAAAATGCTGTGGAGAGAAGCCTTAAGACAGCCATTCCTTACTCGGAAGCCCTCTCCACCATCCTTGAATTGTGTTTTTTATTATATAACCAGAAATATAGCTGTGTAAGCTTACCGTACAATCTTCGTCAGCATTATAAGGTGTTGCGTACAAGTCGTCAGATAGTGCCTAAGTAAGGATGCTTACAATACAGCAAATGTTAACATCAAAGATATGAAAATATCATAATGGAAGGAGAAGATACAAGAGGAGGCGAAAGGAAATTGAAGTTCAGGGTTATTGTTAATCAATATACAGAAGAAAAAACATCAGATCAACTAGTACAGATTTTGACCATGGAGGGAAGCTGTTGATAATGATAATATTTAAAATGTAAAGGAAGGATGAACATAAATAGGGGTTAGGTTTCTTAGATTTTTGAAATTGCAGCAGGAATAACCTGTGTCACAGTAATTTTAACAAAGTTACGTACAAAAGGAGCTTCATTAAAACCTGTTTGTGGATAAAGATTGTTCAAGTTAGTAGAGTCCTGAGAACGACTGTTGATGTTGTTGTTGACTGACGTTACAAAAAACTTAGTAATAGTGATCTTCAGAGTCAAGTGAGGAGTAAACGTCAGGTTAGCCGTTTTTGTTATCTGGTACTTACGTCATCGTATTCAATATAGTGCTTAAAGGAACTTATAGCCTGTTTATATGGAATTCGAGCTAGCCCGCTTATCGAGATAACCCGTTAAGCGAGATCTCCCAACGTAGAAGGTATTAAATTAAAAATCTCTTTGCGTTTATATGGTGAAACGGGCTGGCCCTCTTAGCAAGATCTCACATGGCACAGGCGAGATCTCGTCTGCCCGAGATTAAATTTTTCTCACGTAAACACTCAACTGCCGAGCTAGCCCACTTGCCGAGCTAAATTTTAACTATTTGAACATGCGTATGATAAAATATTAAAATGGCGGAATACGTGCACGTGCAAAAGAGAGCAAAAAAGACACGAGAATGGTTCAAAGATAGAGCTTCGGCTATTATACAAAGATGATGGCGCATTTGATTGATAATCTGTATGATTATAAGTAGAAGATGCTTTATACAAGTCTTTATTTTGACGGCGAAAAACGCCTCTGCCAGCGAGATGAGCGTCATACAAAACACATCAAAAGTTTATCTCGCTTACCGGGCTATCTCGCTAAGCAGGCCAGCCGGGTCCAAATAAACAGCCCCTTAAACATAAGACTTACTGAAACAAACGAGCTACAAAGAAACAAGACAAAAACAATCCCATTTCTGAACATCACCGACTGACAAAACGCAACATTGACTGGGACTCGGCAAAAAGCATTAGATACAACACTGACAATAGACAACGGCTCACCATAGAAAGTTGGTATACCAACTTAAAACAAAACCTGTAGAGCAGATCACAACAATTACCGGCACCTTACAAACGACCAATTCACAATACAAATAAACAAGCAACTAAACGCATCACTTTAGACTAATCCACGGTGACAATACACAACTGACACCCAAACACCCTCACATTTCCTGTACACACAATATACAATGACGTAAGAACTAGATTACAAATACGGCTAACATGACGTTTATTTGACTCTGAAGATGACTACCGCTAAGGTTGTGCACACGTCAGTCAGCAACAACAAAAACAGTCACTCTCAGGAGTCTACTAACCTGGACGATCTTCATTCACAAAAATTTTTGTACGCTATCACTAACTTAATTACCGACTTCGTCGACGTGATAATATTACATATTTCCTTTAAAAACGTAATTCCATTGTAAATGACCAAAATTAATCGTTTGAATTAGAAAAGAGCTGACTTGAAATTTGAATACTAACCCAAGAACTCTGTAAAGAATTGTTTTTGAAACTATATGACCATATGTATTTTGGCAGACAAAACATCATGTGTCAATATCTGCTTGCTAAATACAAATAAAATAATATCGTAAACAGTCTTTGAGACTGTTTAGTGCACGTCTGATTTTTTTTTTATAAAGACAATGAAAGCACTGTATATTAAAACAGTTTTGCATATTTTAGTTATAACTTTCTTTTAATGATGACGTACGCTAGATGAGTCATCATGACTTATAAAAGCAAATCAAATATCAGACGTTGACACGTGATGAAGTCTTTACTGGGAAAAGTCTTTTGGGCTATTATTGGCTGGCAAATTACGTCAAGCCGCCCTGTTGGATGATTTTGACGAAGGTTTTCTTTATTTACAACATGGCGAACATTTCATTATTCTCTTACTCCAAAGGGAAGGGTTGCAAGCCACCAATTTTGGTGATTTGATTATTACGGCAGTTGAGCTTTTTAAGACAAAATCTAGGCCTTACCGTTGCAACATTTGTATTCCCTTGAACATCTTCGTTCATGTTGAGGGATAAGTGTTTTTCGTCTTTTGAATTTTTCTTACATTTTAAGGGTTTCATGTACAAATTACGGGAGATTGGTTTCCGCCGTGCTTTGCTAGAAAAGACAAATAACTTTTATCAATTTTCTATATAAGTCATCATTGACAAGAAATTGTTGTTGATTAAGTATTGGTAAAATTATTTAGGGGGCTTTTCCGTTACATGCAGAATTTGAACCTTTTTAAGGAGGCCCCTAGAGTTCAAGCAATATTCAGGTGTTTCAGGTATCCTTCACTTACATTAGTTTGATCAAAACATTACTTTGATCAAACACACTCAAACTTTGGAAATATGAACTATCCAGGTGTATCAAAAATGCCAGTTATATCTAAAGATGCTTGAATAAGATAACTGATTGCGTTGCTATGACAACCATGTCTCATTTTCTTCTACACTTGACCGTATCTTTTTTTTTGGTCAGTGAATTTTTGAAAAAGAATTCCTGCTACATGAAAACTTATTTGCATATTTTATTCTATGTTGCGTATGTTACATTTTTTGTTGTAATGAACGTCCAAACGAACTTTTGATAAAATTTACCAAAGGAAAAACGAAAAAATGATGGAAATATTTTATTGAGTTGAATGAGATAAGTTCCCAATGTCATAAAATTTTCTTTTCACAAAACAAAGACGAAAAATTATATAGAACTTAAATATTCTTAGGTAGCTAAATACGTCAACAAATTTACAGGATAAAATATTTTGATTTCTGGCAGTTGTGGCAAAGCCAGCCTATTTTTAGCTAGCTACTTCTCCAATTAAATTTGTTTTCAATCACTGGGCACACAAGGAGTAGAATTAATTTTCTAAAATACTACTAAATTTGAAGAGAAGTTTGTATTATGGGAGTAGCTGAGGTAGGGCAAAATAATTCATGAGAAATGTGAAATGCGCAGTATGCGGATAGTTACTCTAGTAAACATGTAGCATATGTGGATAGCTGCTGTAGATATCATTATATTAATGACTTAATACTTTAATATGCAATTATATGATTGAGAAGTGAACATGTTGATAGAAGCTATGAATAGGGACGAGAGATAACTAGGAAATAGCAACATAGCGGAGATGTAACTTAACAGATAACGTATTGTTATTACTTGGAATAAAATCGAAAAAATATTGTAGTTGAACATCAGTGAGTGTAATGAATTTTACTACTTTATTATCTTTTAAAGTAAGTAGAATTAGATTCAACTAACTGTCAAAGAAAAGTTTTCTCTCCCGAAATCACACTTGTCGACATCACGCATGCATAAGATTATTTCACGTGATATAATTTCGTACTTCTCCAAGAAAAAACATGGATTGTGAAACTAGAAACGAGCCTTTATGTTCGGATAGCAGCAAATATCAATTATAAAAATATCCTGTGAAAATGTTTCCTTGATTACTTTTGAAGACAAAAATTTGCACATTGTAGGTATTTTGTTGCCTGTAAAGTCCTAAATGGTAGAATACAGATTACACTGTAATCAAACTGAGCTTTTGATAAATTTTTATTCTAAGTCTAGCACATATACGCGCAGTGCTGTGGCATTATATATAAGAAAATTATTCAACTAGTCATTTTGAAGAACACGTAACCAAAAATTCAATTTATTAAAGTTAAAAAGACCTGGATATTAGTTGTTAAAAATATTTATCACATCATAAAAGACATTTCATGCACTGCAATGTTGCAATTTAGGTTTTATCAAAGATGTTGAAGATAAGTTGATGATATGCCTTTCAGAAAACGACAAGAAATTATAAATTAAATGAACAAAATGCAATGCAATAACTATAATAAGCCATGATAGGCAGAAAAAACTATCTAACGTGTAAAGCTCACTCGAAAAGAAAAAATGACTTAATTAAGTACGAGCTTATAATTTGCAGTTGTTGAGGATTTTTTAGGAAATGACAGCAGTTTTTAAGTACTAACCATAAAAGACAAATTATCAGCAAAGCCAGACAAATAATCAGAACGGCACCAACTGCAGCACCAGCAAGGGCAACTAAAAGAAAACGGAGAGCTCATTGCACTCATTCATAAAATTTTCCGTCCAAAGTCTCTATTTGCTACAAGTTCTTAAAAATAGAACTTTGTTCATCGAAGTTCGAATTTTAGACAATTTTGAGACACCTATGGAAAGTTAATGAACAAAAAATCGTAAAAAAGTCAAAAAAATCATCTTGATCTATATAGTTCTTAATGAAATTTTATTAGTCGTGGAGTATCTAGACTAAATGCCTCAGGCAGAAAGAAAAGTTACAGCAGACTTTGCGTTAAATAAATGGAAATTACTTTAGTCACTGGAAAAACAACACCAAAATAGGATAGGGGTTAACAAAGCTCGTCATTAAGTAAATGAAAGGCATTTTGTCTTTGCTTATACATCGTTGCAACCCCCGGGGGAATTGAGCAACTATTCTAGTAATTAATACAAACTATTGAAGAGGTCAATACTATCACACGGTTTTACTTTACTTTGCTTTTTTAGTAACACTTTGCGGGATCTTTCACCCTTAAATTTAAAATAATTGATTGCCGGCATGATCCTAGCTAACCGGGATTCGGTGAGGCGTGAAATGATTTGAGGCATTGAAAAAAGGCAAAACTTTAAGCGTAAGAATTACAACTGTTTGTTAAGCGCCACAAGTCCTTCCAGCTGAAATTCATAAATTAAGCCAAATTGGTTATTGTAATTTTAAATGTTTTGCGTATGAAATCAGAAGATTATGAAATTTCTCGGGAAGATTTATCTGATGACGAGCATTGAATCGTTTCCATTTCCCAAAATCATTTAACGCTTGGAAGAATCCGGCTACCCGGGCTCATGTAATCAGCTCCTCACATTCCTTCACAAAACTATGTAGTTGTTCGAACAGCTCATGCAAGCAAGGAATAAAGTCCAATAAGACGCAATGCAAATTTACCTTAGCAAAGAAAGCGAAATGATAAATAACGAAACTCAGTAAAAGAAAAATACTGCCTTCAAATGCTAACTTTCTCTTATTTTTCGGATTTCCTATTCTTCAAGCAGCACTTTTAAAAGAAATTATGGTAAATTTATTAATGTATAACATAGTTTACAGTGATTTTTTATTACCTACGTTTCCCAAGTTTATCTCTTTTTTTGAAGTGGCATTGAGGTATGTCTTCGTAGATTCTTCTGTTGGTGCTACAGTTAATTAAGTCAAAACTTTTTAAATCACTCATTGCGATGGATGTTGTTGATGTCGTAATGTGAATAAGAAAATGAAAAACAAATGGCAGTATATTAGAGTTGCCTTTATATCTTATTACATTTTGACAAAATCTACACACAGCCCGGTTGAACACGAATAGTAGATTTTCATTTAACACCGTTATATCAACGAATTTGAAAAATACATGAGCAATGGGTACTCCTGGTAACTTGTCAAGGATGTTGTCGCAAAATGAAGTAGATGAAAAAAATTATTTGAATTATATTATATTTTTCACAATACTAACAACCAATTATTTTTGTATCCATTTTTGCAAACGCCTTCTCTTATATGTATGTGAAATGATTGTGTTCACATGTAGAAAAGTAAAGTTCTCAAGATTTTACACAAATACGAACTATAAATTATCTTTCAAAAGTCTTTTGTGATGCGTACGAGTTAGTTGTTCACTTAATCACTAACACAACTTTCACTTATTGATTTTTACATTATACTATGATGTAAGACACTTTTATTACTTGTTTATTAGCCAACAAGCCATGTTATTTGTTGCTAATTTTCACATCCTTCACGAAACTGTCTGAACAAACACTAAACAAAGACAGTGGCACTTGTTTGGATAATAATGTGGTACAGAACAAAGAAAAATTTTGTTACCTGAATCATCGCCATCTTTGTTGTTGAATTTACTGTCTTCTGTTGTTATTTTGTGACCTGTCGTATCAGTTTTTGTTGTGGATGCCAAAGTGTTACTTTTTGATTTATCAGTACTGATGGTTTCTCCGGATGTCTTAATGTTCACTACAAACATGTGTGTCAAGAACTAATGTTAAGCCTAATAAAACGAGCGCAACATGTCTATCCAACATTGTACAACTTTGTTGGACGATGTTAGAATTTGTTGTTACGAACTGGTCAAACGGGGCCAACTTTTGCTATTTTGAGTGGCTCAATCGACGAGTGGTACGTTCTTATAAAAATAATGTCCGATAACAGGCTCATAAAAATTCGGCTTTATTTGACATCTTAGTGCATATTGGAGCTTATTAATGACAAAAGAAACTGGACAAGGGGAAAAACGATAAATTGAAACAAAAGAAAGCACAAAATAAGTTTTATTCCTAATATTGTGTGAGAAAAATTAATTCAACACACACTTACGCATGCCTAAAGCCAACAAATGTTGTCGAACGTGGTAAAACGACTACAACGTGAAAAATTAGCATAAAATGTTGTTCAAAATTGAAATTTGATTCTTTGTTTTTTGCGTGACGATTGTTATTCATTCAAGAAGCATTATTTTTAATATTGAAAGATTTTTACAAATAAGTCTTTGAGGTATTTGAAAATTTTGGCTACATGAAAACTTGTTTGTAGATTTTGTTCTATTTTGCGTATGTTTATTAATTTAAGACATATTTGTCAACATATGAGTGACAAACGTAAGCAAAATCTTTTCTGGTTGCTCTCGTCAAAATTTTCTTAATTCGTCTAGAGGAGGCGTATATACTATGAAGCTTTTTTCATATTTATAGGAACATACATAATCTAACAAAACATGCCCCCAAAAAATTTTATACACATTTCCTTTAATTTTCCTTAAATCTCACCACCACCATTACCCTAAACAATTTTCGTTTGGTACAAAAATGTTATTTCATACTTGATTTAGGCGTTTTGCAAGTGTAGTAAACAAGTAGTGTTGATGTTTCGCTGCAACTGGATGGTCTTGTTAAGAAATCCTCTTTCCGTACTGTAAACGAACATTTTTTCTTTCCGTTGCACTGATTTTGCGCAACACTCAACGCTGACGTTGACAGACAGTCTTTTTCTATCGAAGATATCCCATATGGTTTTCTAGTTCGCCCCCTTTCTTTTAACAAAACACCAAATTCAGCTGAACGCATTTCAATGACCCAATTAGAGCACTTTTCATCACATTGGATATTTAAATCACTTCCGTTCTCAATCTTCCTTTCGTAAACTAAATTATTAACATATTGTTAAAATATATTTCCAGAATATTTCCCAACAAATCAAGAAAAAGAGCAATCTACACCACCACAACATTCACTTGAGAGAAAAGTGGTTAATATTCTTCTTGTAAAAGGAAGAAATAAAGTATGTAATTTAAGTAATGCATATAAAAAACCACAAGCTAAGGTTGAAAGTCATTTCCAACAATAGACGTAACTTGCAAACTATTTCATATGCACTTACGTGTAATCAGTGGCTGATCTCAAAAAAAAGGGGGGAGCACATTATGGAATATATTAACATTTCTAAACACCTTTGGGACAAATTCATTGGCAATATTAAAATCCTTATAAACTAAAAACATATAGTTTTTTCTGAAAGTAATTTGAAGTTAAAATTAAAAAGTTATAATTATTTTGGGTACCCTACATCCGCCACTGCGTGTTTTTATTTAAACATTTTAAATGAACGAACACTTTTCAACAACGCTTATTGGAGAGAGCGTTAAAAAACAAACATTTATTGAGAGACACAGTAAAGCGGAATCCACATGTTCTCAAGTTCAACATTCTCACAAAGACATCGTTTAAAACACGTACTACAGCAGTCATATTTACGATATAACGATTAAATTAGAGTGCTTAAATTTTCCTCTGATACTGAATAGCAAAAGCACTACCCAATTTCATTTTTCAATTGAATCTAATCAATAATCCTGGTATAATCGCACTCCTGAAATTAGTATCGTCATATTCGATTTCACAATATCACACTTAAGAATCGAGTCAAAGTTGATGCCTATTTTATGCAAGATTCAATTGTTATTCATGAAGATTAGCGAGTGTATGCATAGTTCTCAAAAATCATAACTGAGTAAAGCTATTTATAAACTGTGATACGTCTCGTAGTCTACTGGCGTAATTAATGACTCAACTTGGTGATGCAACTTACCATAGTTGAATTTGCACGAATTATTAAGATCACAGACTTTTTCATTGATAAAGACAATTTCATTGTCATTAGGCTGCCATTCATTATTGACTACAGTTGAACCACCAATACATATTTTGTATGGTGTATTAGTATAAAAGTAGTCTAAATTTCCATTCTTGATTGGTCGGTATCTTCCTACTGAGCCGCCGCAATATCTACTCTCTGTTAGAAAAAGTTCAACTCTTGTCCCAGGATTAGCAAGATTCGGACTATAATAAGTAAACGTAAATTGATAAGTTGGCGACTTATTGAAAACTAACGATTCTCAAAAACTTTGTTTTTGCTTTTTTTCATTTTATCGCTTTTATAAAATACGCGAATTCAAACATTACGATTTGTGCGAGCCTAATTATATCCTTTAAGATTTCAGATATACCCAATTTCCTGAAGAGAAAATTAATATAAAAGTTAATACAAACTAAATGCAGAAGAGCAAAACTTTGATATTGACACTAACCAAAGCCAAAAACATCTTCAACTTATGACACTTTTTTAAATAGTAATATACAAACTTTGTCGTCGTGACATATCTAAAAATTCGTTTTAAAGACAGCAAATGCCATGGTCAGTTGCTTGAATATCCCTAAAATTCTTATGTTATTTTGGCAAACAATCATGGCAGTTCCTATCTTTAAATCAAATTTTAAGGCTCTTTACTTAAAAATCGTGGAAGCTTTTTTTTCCTGGAATTGCATTTAAAAATGAATTAAATTAATTGAATTGAATCGAGAATTGAATGATCCCAGCTCCATTCTTGAAACTCACAAACATGTGGCAAAAAGTTGAGGTTCCTATTTATGCCCAGAATAATAAAACTTTACTACAGCATTTTTTTGAGGAAAAATCACGAAACATTCATAAGTTTTTAAGTAGAGTTATTCCGTAGTGTTTGCATGCTCGTATACAATGCAAAGCTGGTCACTGTAATTATCAGGCAGAAAGCATAAAAATCTTTTGGATTTTGATTAGTGGATTTAAATGAATACAAGAAGTTTTTATCTGACATGTAAATGTCATAATGCAATAACAACTTATAGTGTGGAAAAATTATAAACGCTTGATGAGCACAGCCCCACAGAATCATTACTGGAAGCATAATGCAGCACTGTTAAGTTTTGTAGAAACACTCTTTAGGTTGGGAGTATTCTTTGCTGCACATATTTCGTGAGGCAGAATCTGCTTCGTCATTACTTATGATTGGTCAAAAAGAAAACTTCTCTTTTGCCAATTGAAACCCTGTGCTCACTGAACTTGTCTTTTAGGACTTATCTTCTATAACGATGTAGACAATATTCCTTGTAATATTCCTTGCGTAATTTAAGAAGCCTCGTCCACTTTTTGCCTTTCATGCATTTCTGTTGTCATTTTTAGATGAATGATTTTAGAGTATTTCTTATTAGATGACCAAAGAAAGTCTTCCAGTGACATTGCAATAAAACAGCTTGTTAAACAAACTTAAAAAAAATAAATCAACTCACTTGGATGGTAAAATACATTTTCCTGTAGTCACGTGATAAGGTGGATAGTCATATGACAACAAGAAAAAAGTATTTCTTGAAGTGCAGTCACTTGACCAAATGAGACGTTGTGTACCTTGTACATTTATGCAAAGTCCGTTTGCGTGTTTAATAGGACCATAGCCTAAAAGAAAATTTCAACGATCTATTGATTTATCATGTCTTAATCTAAAGTTGTCATTAAAACATTGATACGCTCTACTTAACAAAATCTGTTAACTTGTAAATGCAATTGTAAAATATAAAATAAGAGCATTGAAAATAACGATGTGTTGATTTATCATGTTTTAATCTAAAGATGTGTTTCAAACATTAACACGCTCTACTTATGAAAATGATATGTCAACTCTTAAATACATTGTAAAATACAAAATAAGAACATTGAAAATAATGTAAAATCTCTTCTTCAACGAAAATAAAAAAGTGAAACACATTGTTTCATCCAAATGAAAATTCGTAAACCCAAGTCTACAGAAATAATATATTTCTAATGTGAAACAGAGGAAAAAATTAGAATTTCCGTGGGTAAAGACAAGCAAAAAATTTCTTGTCAAAAGAAAATTTCTTATAGCTTTACACTATACATAAGTCTAGGAGCAACAAACAGTATTTTATACCTTTTTTATTAAAATAACAAGGAGGATTGACTGTTTGGTTAAAGCAACATGTTTTTGGACATTGATCCTGCTGTTGTGCATTATTTCCACATTCCAAACGTTTGCCTCCAAAAACATCACACGATAAACCTGTAAGACACAGAAAAAATACTGTTTACAAAGGTAACAGCTGCATGTTTTCACAACGACACTTGCAGCGTTGAAACCAGCTGTTCTTGCTTTTGAGTAGTGTTTGATGTCGTAATCCATGCAAGCCCGATTAACAATGTTGGTCTTAACGTAATATATACGACTGTGTTCTTAGAAGTGCGGCCTCCCTGTTTGTTTTGTCGTGATCTGTAAGTTTTATAACATTAGTACACTTTTTTCTTTAAAAATCTGATGTTTTTGTTGTAAGCGAACACGAAAATATTTACATAAAAACGCCCAAACTAGCAGGCTGAATACACCACAAATGAATAGTAGTCCGCAACAAACATCTGCTTTACGCTTCGGTTTTTCAACTGGCTAAAACGTCCCATTGTCCATTAGAGTTGAATGTTTTGATCCTTCTTTATCTCTTACGTTTATAAAATCCTTTTTCCTATAATCCTATAAAATTCACGTATCATTTGTATAAGATGTGGCATGTAAGATAGCTGAATTGTAACGTGACGTAAAAAAACTATGCACGATTTCTTTGCTATATCTGAAATATTCTATTTAGCAGCCATTACCAGCGTTTTTCATTTTTGTCTTTTAGGCAAAAATTAATACCGAAGAAATAATCTCCAAATTATCCTCAACCCAAACAGTATTTAAATTTCATTGACAGTATACAAAACTGCAAAGCTGTAACAAAATCATGATCTTTCATAAACATATTTTAGTACTTAAATAACTTTTTCTGTTAATTTTGGTGGGCTTCCCTAATGTTTAAAGGTTCCCATCACTTGACACTCTACACCCCTCAGTTATGTCCCTGGATAAGAGCAGGTGTTGCTGTGCCATGATTATAGTATTGTACGGCAGAAACACTTTCTATATACAAAGACAAACAAAAATATAATTTACCATAGAAGTCTACAAACTACAAACAGAAATTATACATGTCAGCATATATAGTTAATATTTCACAAATTATTATAAGTGAGGCTACTTAGTGCTTAAATGTATTAGAAAGCCGAGGGAGGTTAGTAAATAGTCATGGGCATGCGGGTCTACTTTTTTTAGGGGGATCATTCTTTCATTTTCAATATGATGTAATTTACACAACTTTTCAGCAAGTAATTCACATGCGCAATATGCATACGTATGCAAATACTTTGTAATAGTTTTTGTTATTTTATGCTCAAAGTTCGAGGTTGTTAGTAAATATATCAAAGTACAGATGCTATACAAGGCTGTGTTACTTGTTATACCACCTTTGAATCTGAATTAAAAATTCTAATTAAGTAATTAAATACATTATTAATTCGACATACAAGAACAAAAGAAATTTAGGCAACCATGTTATTTTATAGTTGAAAACCATGCATGTGAAACAAACACCTTTTATGAACTAAGATTCGGCATTTTTAACATTATGTGGCACAGAGTGGAAAACGCAGAGATGTGTTAAATTGTATTTAGTGAAGAAGGCTCTGCTGCGCATTCCAACTCCATACTCGTTCTACTCTCCATAATTTAAACTCCGCATTTTCCAGCATGCCATTCGTGCATCTTAACACGGAAGTGCCTCGGTTTAATTTAAAATTTTATGGCACTTGCACAATTTTTGTTGTAAAATATTACACAATTTCTACTATAAGAAGACAGTTGTCAACAGGTGTAAATAAAAATACCGTCTAAATAATTGTAAGAAATTAAAAAATTGTAAGAAATTGTAAGAAATTAAAGAAATATAACTTCACTATATTACATTGACCAACCTGTAGTTAACTGGAAGAAGCCTAAGAACATTAAGACGCGAACGAAAATATTAAAGAAGTACATCATTCTTTTTTCCTCAATTCCGTGAATTTTGAGCTGGATTTCACATCAAGGACCAAATAGTCATTAGAACGAACTCTCAAATCAAAACATAGCTTTGTGTCATTAGTTTGTCCATTTCTTGGTCAGGCAAATATAAGAATGAGCTCACAACAGACGGAAAGGATGTAAACACTTAAAACAACGTGTGATCTACATAATAGAGGCGAGTCAGCTTTCCTTTTTCGCTTTGAGAACTACAATCACGGAACACTTTCAGTATAACGTACCTGAAAATACTTAACCACATTATATTTTGTCAACGTGTTACGAAGAGAAGGAACGCAGTTAGATTACAAAGTAATGACAAAGTAAAGAGTTTTATTCTTGTAGTTTTGGTAAAGAATTAAATGGTGTGTCCAACATCATTTATACAACAACATAATCATCAAATCAAACTACAATCACGTAGATGAGCTTGACAATGTAACAAAATAGTTGTCTCCACATTTTTAGCGTTGTCACTTACAGTTACAATTGATATTTACTTCATGAATCGGATTAAGGCCATTCTGGGTAACTAGGAACTATAACTCAATAAACTGGTTACCTATGGTATAAATGTTACAGCAAGATACCAAGTCTTTGTAGACGCTGTTAGTCAAAATATAACTATTAAGCACAAAATTGAAACACAGTTATGCGCTGCGCCTAGGTCATTGTCAACTTACATGGAATTAATCTCAGGAAGTTTAATTCTTTTTCAAGAATTCTTTTCTGACTGAGAATTTCAACTGAAATGAGACGAAAGATGTTGAAAATTGACATGGTGGAAAATGCTCACAAATGGGAAAAGTATTAAAAATTGTTTTAGCCTTTATTATTCAGGAAATATCATTTGTTTTAAAATTGAATTATGTTTGAAATGTAAAGATCTTCGCAGTTATTGATGTTCTCTGTTTTTAAACTTTTTTAGTTCGAACTTATCACTTTACAAATGATTATTAACTCAAAATAATCATTTGTAAAAAACATTGAATTTATATTCCTATCATCAATTAGTGCTTTTATTGCGCAGCGAATAAAACGGCAAATTTTGGGGGTTTTATGGAGGACTTATGCTATTAGAAGTTAAAATGATTGGTAGCTTATAGTGTGCTCTAAAGAGCAATTTAGAAAAGCATGCACGAGTGACTTTAGATTGAATGCATTTCTCGTCGTTTTCTAACCATATTGTTTTTATAACTACTTATAGCACAATTTCCTTTGAGACATAACGCGTTGAAAGATGTTTAACTTGTACAAAATCTGTTTTAATTTCGCTTTTTATTAAATGGAAATGCGAAAAGCTTGATACTCCATACATTAATGCTCCAATCGTATTTGGAAACATTTATTAGAAAATACCTGGACGCAACCCGGCATTTGCTATGCTGATTCAGCCAGTGCTTTCTGGAAAAATTCTCGACATTCGGGATTGCGTCCCTTTATATAGCCACATTGATTGTAAAAGAAAACAAACGGTTTCTCATCAATGAAAAAATCTTAATTATTTTTTCAAAACTAATTAAACTAATACATCAATTTCAACTACAGCAACGTAACTATATAGCTCGTATTTTTTAAAAAAGTTCACCCAGTGATCTTTAAACGCAAAAAATTGCTTCTAACAATGCGAGCCTCATTCGTGCAATACTGATTGAGCAAAGTGTCCTTTCTGTAATAGGCTACCTGTTCCAATTCTTTAAGAGTAATCATCAAAACTTAAAAAATACGTCTGGTCGGCAGTTCCTAAATAATACTGAATCAGTCGTGTATGTAGTTGATATTTGTAACTCAGAAAACATAAACTCCAGTTAACATTATAATTAATATAAAGTGACATGACAGAAGTAAGAACAAACTACAGCCAATTCCGATGTAGCAACTGAGTGGCAACCACAGTTCAGCATTGATTATAGCTAAACACAATTAAGATGTTTGAAGCGTTTGCCCAGTCCAGGGCCAAAACAAATTAATTAAAAATGTGCTAATAAATGAATGGGAGAAATAGTGAAACTAGGATGGTGGTTTGTGAGCGCTTTACGATAAACTTTTTTACAAGTCTTAGCTACGTTATCTTTAGATAAAGAACCTCAATTGTTTCTAAAAGTGGGCGGTGTCTTAATTACGCTCAATATATGAAATTCTGTTCTTTCAAAACCTTATTACGAGTTCAATGTCGGTACTAAACTTTGTGAACTTTGGGCTCTTTTATAGGTAACAGCATGAACAAAATTCATCAAGGTTTCAGCTCTATAATAGTCAGACAATACTTGTTTGATTTTATTAAAATCATTGAAAAATAATGTGATTGCATACTGTCTGACGTTGTTGAGCTTGCCGCAACACGGGAGTTCATTTTTTATTCTTTTCTTGTGTAAAATGAATTATGCTTGTTTTTGAATGCTCATATCGACGTGTTCAGTATTACGAAATATCTCCATTAAACTTTGCAAGCTATGTTTCCAATTTTAACGGGAACGCCTTTTTTGTTCAATGTGAGTTTGTTGATAAACGTTTAGACATAGTATAGAAACTATTGGGGAACACCCCACCACACACACACACACTTTCCCTTAATGTAGGCCCCTGAGTGAGATTATGAAACAATACTGAATGTTTCTTTAACTTTCTCCGTCACTTTGTTAATACACCGGTACCAGTATTTTTTATTTCTTATTATTGGTACCGTTTTGGGGCATGCCAGCTGGTGTTTCATAGTTTATGATTATAGAGGTAGAAACGTCTGCATGTAGAATAGCAAATTTTTACAAAGTCAATGATGACATAAACGGAAATCCCTGTACTGCAATTCACAATACAATTGTTTAAGTCGATAATTTACGTATATATACATTTTTTTCCTTTTTCAACTTGCTTTTTGTTTCCAATTAAAGTGTTATTGATAAAAATTGTTTAAAAAAGTTGTATTACCCCAAAAATGTGCCATTATCCTTGGCACTAACTAAAACGGGACTCGAATTAGAAATCTAACACATTCTAAAACTAGCTTACAAATAACCAGAAAAATGTTTGCATCAAACTTTGTGTTTATTTATTGTGTATAAGTGCTTCTAAATTATTATTTTTTCAACAAAGAACGTCCCTCAAAACAGTACCATAATCGTTAAGGAGCTTTATTTGAACCAGCACTCTGAGCAAATTTTGAATGGCTAATTTAGTACATTATTACATAAGCCGCTTCTGTTTTACTCATTCCATTTATTTTCGGTGATTCGTAACCATCGTCTTTATTATTCATTTGTGTTGCACCTAGTTCTTGATAAGTTGTGTCATCTACATTTGCATTTAATCACTAGTAGGCATTTTCTTTATTCATTTGTGTTACATCTACTCCTTGCAAGGTTGCATCGTCTTCGTTTGCATTTAATGATTGGTAATGTTCATCATTTTCGTTCCTTTTGGAATGGTCTAACCCTTGGTAAGTTAAATCTTGACTGCTTGTTTGCGCTACAGACAGTGGTCGAAATTGATTATTGATTTTCTGATAATATAGAGCAAAATGATGGAATTAGAGAATGGGCCGTTCTGAAATACTTTGCGTGCTTGTCGTTGTTTCTGGCATCGAGCTTCCTGGTACAGAGTTTAGGGATTACTTACCAAATGTGAAATAACGTCATTTTTTAACTTAACTCTCGTTATTTCTCTTAATTTTCCCTTTGACTTTGATAGACCTGAGTTAGTTGCAAAAGTAGACATCTTGCCGCTATTACAACTTTTTATGCACCACTTTTGATCGTCCAAAATGGCTATCGCACAAAACATCTTGTGAGACTTATTCTTCAAAAATCACCTAGCTAATAGTGACAATAAAATGAAACGAAAGATGATGATAATGGTCAGTGGCGTAAACAAAGCACAAACAGGGCTGTATTAAAACATATGGAGGTCTAGAGCAAAATGTTTTTGTCTATGCAATATTGAGATGTTATTAAACAAAAAGAATGATAGCACAGCGCTATAATCAACAACTACAAACAATAACGACCCCATGTAACAACATTTGCGAAATTAACCTTCCACTCCTCTTCCTTGTAAACCAGACAAGTCAACCTTTCACCTTTAAACTCTGCTATACCGGTCACGTGCCCGGGACTTGTAGCGTATGGGGCTCTCTGCTTTTGAGTAGACTTATCTGGTTTACAAGGAAGAGGAGTGGAAGGTTAATTTCTCAAATGTTGTTACATGGGGTCGTTATTGTTTGTAGTTGTTGGTTATAGCGCTGTGCTATTATTCTTTTTGTTCAATATTGAGATTTTGAAGTTAATTCACGGTAAGAAGTGTTAAATTGTAAAAAGTTGAAATTCTGATAATCATGAAAAATTTAAATGGCTTGTAGTAAATTTGAAGAAAAGTTTGAGATAATCATAAAAAAATACACCCTAAAAACTGATATTGTTAAGAGCAACCGAAAAATATTTTTCAATTCAATAACTTAGTTTGTGTCTGAAGTTTCTCTTACCGAACACTTACTGTAAAAGTGGTTTGATTTATCTTATTATCTTTAGGAACTGGTATGACACAATCTTCGTCCATGTTAACGATTAAATTTTTTTCTTGTTTCATCCTTTTCTCATATTTAACGGGTTCCGTATATATGCGTCCAACATTTTGCTTTCAACGTATTATGCTGTAAAAACCAGGCCATTCTCATAAATTTTCTATGTTACAAAACAATAAAAAAGAAAAATTGTATTTGATAAAACTATCCGAACACATTTTATTCAGTTATGAATTAACTGAGCAAACCTTATCAGGTAAAGAGATACAGTTAATAAATCTTTATATAGATGCTATTATCAAAGGTAAAGAAGGGCTGAATTTTGCGATGTTATAATCAGTTAAATGAATATTTCCATCCATATATGCATTGCTACTTATATATACACAACGAATCAAATTAAGAACCGCTTTACAAATATACTAAGGCTTTAAAAATACGTAAAATAATTGATAAGCGAAATCGTCCTATGAATCTAACGTATGAAAATATACCAATTAAAAAGAAAAATTTGAGCTCTTATAGCCCCAGGTGTCGGAAAGCACAACATTGGGTTAATCTCGAACATGACAACAATTACAAAATACAAACCAGAACAAAAGGATCACGACCAGAACAATAATGTAGAAGAGCGCCCACTGCAAGACTTGCAATTATACCTTAAAGAAAAAGAGATTTCACAGCAATTAAGGGTTGTTCATAGTTTTCTTCAGAAAAATCTTCCTTCGTAGTCTATACAAGTTACAGGTGCTGCTAACAATGGAAATTCATTTAATTTTAAGTTTAGCTCAACGTGAGGTACATTTCCCAACAATTGAATCAATGTCTAGAGCAGCGTGTTTACGGAGCTGATAAATTTAAACAAGTAACGGACATTTTTTACGTCGTGCTTCAATGCCCTAGTTTTCATTTCATAAAAAAACCCATAGCGAGAAAACACGACTTATCTACACTTGTGTTAGTATGCAAGAATTGTTACTAGTGTTGTTCACACGGATGGGGTTATACGACTTGCTTAAACTGTCCATTTGAAAGATTAGGGCTACCTAATACAAATCAATGCAATGCAATTTTTAACTTAACTTCAAAAAATTTTATACTGAGCATTCTGCGATGATATGAGACCACAGAATTTGTTCGAACAGTTATCATAAGCGAAACACAGATCAGTGGAAAATCTTGGGAAGGTCAATATAAATTTTGAGTACGCTGTTGGTTAAAAAAATCTAAAGAACATATTAGAGTAAAATACTTCCAACAGGATTCACTCTGAAGTAATGGAAATATATTTTCAGTAATGTATTCTGACCGTTCCTGGATCACTACTGTCAAAGATGATAAAGAAAATGAGTCTTTTTATTACCTAGATAAACGCTATCCTTGGTGTTAGATTCACTTATTTCATACTGGGTGCTACAGGTAAAGGGTTACTTTTGATGAAGTGTTTAATTGTGTTACTGGTGTCATTCTGCTCTCTACAACCAAATAAAAAAAAGATGAATATGTCTCAAACTATTTTTTAAAAATATGTACATTGCAAAGTAAAAAACAATTGTGCAATAAAATATTAATTCTAATTTACATCTTCCTAACTTGAACTCTGAACAGAGAATAAGATAAAAAATAAAAATTCGTATAGAACTTGACAAAATACAAATCCGGCGTATGAAGTTCCCGTATTATTCGCCCATACGAGATATACCTAACGTTTACGATCACTTACATTTGTATGACATCTTGAGTTATTTAGCATTCATTTAGCCATTATTAGAAGTATGTTTACAAGGTTAGTATCCGGTTGATATATATACAAATCATTATATCGTTCTTTGTTTATTAGTACACCCAGTCAGAATATAGGGATCAATGATAAGGATAGATGCCGGTTATTAGATCGACTGGTCAGCCATTTTTTGCTGTTTGGTGCGGTAACGTAGTTGTAAGCATGCATTAATGAAAAAGGTTCTTGAGAAAATTCTATACACTACGTTATATTTGCTTGCTTATAAATTAAAACCCAAAGACAAAACTCTTCTGCATGTTGCAGATTAACACCAACCTAACAAATATAATGTTACATATTATAACTGTTTATACCTGATTTAGGCGTTTTGCAAATGTAGTAAACAAGTAGTGTTGGTGTTTTGCTGCAACTGGATGGTCTCGATAAGAAATCCTCCTTCCGTACTGTAAACGAACATTTTTTCTTTCCGTTGCATTGACTTTGCACAACACTCAACGCTGACGCTGACACACAGTCATTTTCCATCAAAGATATCTTATATGGTTTTCTATTTCACCTCCTTTCTTTTAACAAAACACCAAATTCAGCTGAACGCATTTCAATGACCCAGTTAGAGCACGATTCATTACATTGGACATTTAAACCATCTCCGTTCTCAATCTTTCTTTCGTAAACTAAAAAATTACGATAATGTTAAAATATATTTCCAGAATATTTCTAAACAAATCAAGAAAAAGAACAATCTACACCACCGCAACATTCACTTGAAAGAAAAGTGGTTAATATTCTTCTTGTAAGATCAAGAAATAAAGTATGTAATTTAAGTAATGCATATAAAAAACGCAAGCGTACGAAGTCATTTCCAACAATAGACGTAACTTGTAAACTACTTTCTTATGCACATACGCGTTATCAGTGGCGGATTTAGAGTACCTCAAAATAAATTAAGTGCAGCACAGTTTGGCAAATATTTACATTTCTAAACACCGTTGGCAAAATTATAATCTTTATAAATTAAAAAACATTAGTTTTTTCTGAAAATAATTTAAAGTTAAAATTGAGAAGTTATAATTTATTTTGTGGTTCCCTAGATCCGCCACTGCGTGTTATTATTTAAACATTTTAAATGAACAAACATTTTTAACAACGAGCATCATTTTTATGTTTAACGCTTATTGGAGAGACCGTTAAAAAACAAACATTTATTCAGAGACACAATGAAGCAATATCCACATGTTCTCAAGTTCAACAATCTAAGTAAAGTAATCGTTTAAAACACGCACTTTAGCAGAGTCATATTTACGATATGACGCTTAAATTAGAGTGCTGAAATTACCCTCTGATACTGAATAGCAAAAGCATTGCCCAAATTCATTCTTTCAATTGAATCTAATAAAAAGTGAAATTTCAACCTGGCATAATCCCACTCCTGAAATTTTGATTTAATAATTTTACACTAAAGAATTGAGTCAAAGTTGATGCCTATTTTATACAAGATTCAATTGTTATTCATGAAGATTAGCTATGTATAGTTCTTAACAATCATCACTGTGTAAAGCTATTTATAAACTGTGATACGTCTTGTGGCGGCGTACTTGCGTAATTGACGACTTAACTTGGTGATGCAACTTACCATAGTTGAATTTGCACGAATTATTAACATCACAGACTTTTTCATTGATAAAGACATTTTCATTGTCATTAGGCTGCCATTCATTATTGACTACAGATGAACCAGCAATACAGATTTTGAATGGGTAAGCAATATAAAAGTAGTCTAAATTTCCATTCTTGATTGGTCGGTATTTTCCTACTTCACCGCCGCAATATCTACTCCCTTTAGTAAAAGTTCAACGCTTTTCCCAGGATCACCAACTTTCAAGCTATAATAAGTAAACGCAAATTAATGAGTTAACAACATATTAAAAACTAACGTTGATTCAAAGAGAGTTTTTTTTATATTTTGGATTTTATCGCTTTTAGCTACAAAACATGAGGATTTAAAAATTGCGTTTTGTGTGAGCCTAATTATGTTCTTTGAGATTTCAGATTTACTCAATTTCCAGAACAAAAATTTTATACAAAACTAAGTGCAAAAGAACAAAACTTTGACAATGACACCAACTAAAGCCAAAATCTTCTTCGAACTTATAATAAATCTAAAAATAGACACGCAGTGCCTACATGTGGTTAGCTAATCATATATGTAGATTTATAAATATGACTCAAAAAATATATATTAAACATTTTTCGCACCAAACTTGTTTGAGGTATAAAAAAGTGCTATGTGCTCACTGAATTTCGGATGACCCAATAACTTTCTAACCTACTCTGCACTAACCAAACTCCCTCCTTTACATTGCATGTCACGTGACTGTACTCACATTAAGAAAAGTGAAGTCCCCAAAATATTTTACAAATTTTAATGATGAATTTTTTATCGTTTAATTGCGCCAAAAAGCATTTTTTTGCAATAAATGCTTTCTCATCAACGACTTTTTAAAGGCCCGTTTACAGGATGTAATTTGTTGGTTCCGATTGTCTCAAATCAAACGTTTGGTTTCTTATTGAGAAGGTTTGATAATTTTGTTGATACTTATATTCATTTGGATATTTATATTCGTGTGAACAGCCATTTGTGCCATGCAGTACATTTATCGATATATTTTTCGATCTTGTTTCCAAGTCTTTTTCAAATCTATGTAATTTGGCTAGTTGGTTTATTTTGATCTTGTCGAATAAAAAAAAGGAAGCTCTATTTCGAACCGATTTTTTAGATTGACGGATTGGAATGTGGGGAGGCTCACTCTACATGTGCTCAAATCGCATCGTGTGAGCAGTTGTCTGACGCCTATGCCATATAATTAACCGATATTTTAATACGCTTGTGACTTTTTTGTTTCACACATATAGGATAGTTATAATTCAGAAAATACCGCACCCATTGTAATGTTTAATGGTTGAAAGCTATTAATAATGTTTCGCAGTTTGCACATTTTTTAATTTATCGTACGTACTAAAATATATTACCTACTCAAAGTTATATCCAATAATTTCCATAGACAATTAAAGATATGTAAATCTCAAACAAATAATAGTTGTATTTCGTACTAATATCGAAAGCAAAATAAATTCATTTGTTTGTGTATGTGAACCGAGCAGTACATAAACAATGCCAGCTACTACTAAACCCAGACTATATAACTTTTAAAATTTGTGATCGCCAGCGAAGGTTTATTTGTATGTTATAATCATTTGCCTAATCCATGAATCAATTTCACATTTAGTTAATCGTACGGTATGAATTGATGACTAAGCCCAGTTCAAACTTCGAACTTTACATGCACCGAACGCATTTAAAACAAAAAAAGAGACAAGTCACCCACAAATATTGAAAAAAGGTAGTTTTACACCATTGATTGTTTGAAATATTTTAATTTTAGAAAATAGATTGCCATTTCTGTATAAATTTCAACGAGGGCAAGTTTGAATAAGCTTTTAAAACTGAAGTGTAAACGTGTTACTTGTATTGAACAAAAGTTTTGCCGACTCAAATTCATTTACTTCAAAGACAAAAAAATACTATTAACTAAAAAGAACGTTAACCGATTTCTTTTTTCCTCGCTTTTTTGTTCTAAAATTTATATCAAAAAAACAATTGCCCAAGCAACATAAATTTCTTATCATATCCATTGAGTAACGAACAATAATTTATTTAAAGTAACGTTTGTCTTTAAACAAGACATCAACAGACAAATAAGTAGAATGATCAAGGAGTGCGTTTTTAAACGGAGTACATTAAAAACTGATTTGATATGGAAACGTCCCTAAAGTTATAAGCGAGCAAGATCTGAAAAACATTTGGTGATATAGGTCATTGGTTCATCAGCATTTGATATCAAACCTTAAACAAATAATAACTTTGTTAAAAAGGAGAGTTGTATTAGCTATCGAGAAAAATATTTAAAATCGCTTTCGGTAAAAATTGAGAAAGCTAAAGAGCAATTGAACATATAGGGTTAAATGTTACATGCTGTTCTAGCTAACAAAATTCTAAAAAGTTTGGCCAATGTGTACGCGATTGCCATTCATCCAAATTGCGGATTATTTATTTTTCCTTTTTAAGGGCCTGATTACATGAAGCGTTTCAACCCCGGGGTTTAATCTGAAACCTTTTGTCTGGGCTGAAATTTTTTACGATTATATGGCAGCTTCCCACCCCGGATCTGAGGTCTTGAGTAATTGCGCGCAAGTACTGAATTTCGCGCGACTATCCAAAATTGTAAACATGGCTGACGAAAACTTTTATCGATTTGTAATATTCGGTGCTCATCAACTGTGACGGATCATTAACATAAATGGAAGCCATCTCACGTCTGACAGCTTCGTACTGCTTTACTTTATCTGCATTAAAATCACTATTCTTAAACTCCATAAGCGTCTAATAAGTGCTCAAACTTTTTAAAAGATTGTCAACTTTGTTGTTCTCCCAACGAAATCTCTTTACTGGGACGATAATTGCACTTTCTGATTCTGTATCTTATTTGGATCGTGGATATCCTCGTGTATTGTTGACTCCATTTTGTTTTGGTCATGTGCAATATTGCGCGCAATTCTTCGCTACTACGCTTGCTCAATGATTTCAGCCCTGGGTATCAAACAATTATATGAGATATTTTTAGCCCCGGTGTTAATTTCAGCTGAGATTTCAGCCAGGGTGCTCAAGCAGGGCTGAAATTTCAACGCCGGGGTTGAGTTCAGCACCGGGGTTGAAAAGCTGTCATGTGATAGTAATTGTATTTGATTAGGATTTATAGAGCAGGCTGGGCTGAAATTTTAGCCCACTTAAAAAGGCTGAGCTCAACCCCGGGGATGAAAATGCTTCATGTAATCAGGCCCTAAATCCCATTTTTAAACCTTCAATTAAGTGTAAGTTTGTACAAAGAAATAAAAGTAATCAATCAAGAGGTTGTATTTTTATTTTGTGACAGTCGATATTTACTAAAGGATTGTATGTAAGATCGATAATGTCATTAAAATGTAAAAAAGAAAATGCATTGTTTATGTTTAAGTTGTTTCCCATGTAATTTGACTCTAATCTTATCTGAAATCAAACTTTGCAAGTTTGTCATGCCGTTGGTTAGTAGCGTAATGGCGTTAGTCAATATTTTGGTGTTCACTAAACTAAAGTTGAAGCAGATTCCTAAAAAATATATAATGATGATGACATTCAATTTACGTAACACGACCAAACTTAATTACTGCGCCATCTGCATCATGCGGAAATACCGTTTTATTGTCAAATGTTTACAAAATTTACATATTTTGACAAAATTTTATTGCAAAAATCTGTACAACAGACAGACACTCTTTTCATAAAAAATTGTCCACGTATGCACGTGAATAACAAAATAATTTGAAAAATTCACAAATTAAATAAATATAAATCAAAACAATAACTAACATAAGATTGACCAACCTGTAGCCAACTGTAATAAACGGACAAAGACCAAGCTATGAGCAAATATACAAATAAAGTGCATCATTTCATTCTCTTAAATTCCTTTGTTTTAAAATTCTATGATAACGTTAAGGTCAAAACAGTCGATACAGCAATTCCTGCAAAATGATAACTCATTTGTTACATTTGTGTGTCCATGTCTCCCACATACAAATATAAAAATGAACCCATAAGGGATGGGGAAAAGGTGATCACTCATCATTTACATAAAAGGGAGCGTCAGCTTTCGACTTCCGTATTAATGTTATAATCTTCAAACACATGCAACTTTCATTTATATTATCCAATTTAAACTCATCGCACTTTTAATTTGAAAATGAATAATAAACATTTAATAACACCTTTATGGGAAAGAAAGTGATAATAGTATAATTTCTCAAATCTGCTCTTGTTTCCGTGGTAAGAAATTGGCTCTAAAGCTTGTTTTTCAAAAAAGCGTTAAAAGTCGCACTGAGAAGCAGCGAATAGTTTAAGCAGCGAATAGTTTGAGTTCTCTCGCAAAGGTCTCTTCTGTTTTTTAAGCCGGTGTAAACACAGAAAAAATCTTTTGTTTCTTAAATGTTTAACAGTATGGAGCAGAAATTGCAAAATAGGTCGTTTGCATCATACGTCATGCAAAGCTGCTGTGTGGCTGATTAAATACAAAAGAATGTTCATTAATGGTGTTGTGGGCAACAATAGCCATTGTGGGCGAGCCACATTGTTTTTGATAATTCTGCGGAGGCTGGTTAAAACCGACGAAATCAGTAGTGATTCAATTTTAACGTAACATTGTTGTTCAACACAAAGACTGCACTAAAAATGCCGATGTTTCATTTAGATCTAAAAGCCGAGAAATTGCAAATACAAGGATGCTATAAGATGCGTTTGGCTTCCTCGTATTAAAAGAAAATGATGTGGGAGTATAAGATAGTGCCAAATATGGGAGTATAAGACAGTGCCAAATATGGGAGTATAAGATAGTGCCAAATATGAGAGTTTAAGATCGTGCCCAATTTCGATATGCTACAACAAATTTATGGTTCCTCATTACATTTTGAATAATCCACACGTTGCCTCATGCTTTGCTCATCAAGGAGAGTTTTGCTAGAAAAGAGTGAAAGAGAATTTTGCCCAAAGAGTCATTGTAAATTACTGGGCATACGTGCTAGGAGCGTAAAAAATACAACGTGTATATTGGCCTTGTTTTAATTAGGATAAACTCATCGCTAGCACAATATCCTTCGTTGTAAAATTGACTAGCTATGTCACTTTTTATATTTAAACGAATACAACACATACATATTAAACTGTCCTTTTACCATGTATATGTTCTGACCTATAATGAAAG